CAGCGTGGGCTCCATGACAGCGAGGACATGCCGAGGCCCTCGTGCTGCCGATTGGAGGACAGCCTTGCGTCAGGCCCGGACAGAAATTAAAATCAATTTAGCTCTGCAGGGGCAATGGATGAAAGCCGGATTGTCACGGAATTGGTTGCACGCTAATGTGGATAGTAATAAGCAATCTGGTGAATGTCTCGGCGATGCCTTCCCGTCCTAGTTTGGTACCGGACGCTATCTCCTGTCACCTTATGCACGACAATATGCCCAAATTTCGTACATCAAACCAGGGAGCTGAGTAGAGACGCATTTTCCAGTTTCCTTTCACTAGCAGATGTAAATATCCAATAGAATCCAGCAACTGGCAGATGCTTTGATTGACACACAGTCCAATCATCGATAGGCCAAGGCTCACGTTTGATGCTTAAAAAGCCCTGCTTATCAATAATAAGGCGCGAGCGAGACGGTCTGCCAGCTTCTCTGTAAACTTTAGCTGGGAACCACATCCAGCAGTACTCGATTCTTTAGTGAGAAAGGCGATGTTACTGCTGCAAATGAAGAAACAATCTCATGCCATCTCTTTCAGGCCTCTATTATCTCCTGAGGCAGTCATTTTATGGTATGCAATAGGATCAAGCATCGTTATACGTTGTTCGTGAAAGTCGCTGGTCCAAGGGGATAACGCTTGGGGAGACTATAAAAGTGCTTTCGAGATGACGCGGATAGTTCACGGGGCCATTCGCGAGAATCGTATAAGCATGGTAGGTGAGATGCATTTGTTCCTGACTTTTTTCTGACAGCAAAATCAGCCCATATTTCCCAGTGTTTAGGTATCATACTGAATCGACTCACACCCACACTATTTTTGCAAATTAGTTCAGGTAGCCTGCGGGATGCAACAGTGCTGCAGAACCGCGATCAGAAGGTCAGCGAAAGTAGATCTTGATGAGCAAGATACGCAGGGGATCATAACCGGCAAGATCATGTGAACTCGTCGCACTCGATGAGCTTGCGCATCTGCTGAATTGCGCCATCCTCTGAATGCTAACTTTCTATGTGCTCAGATAGTAACAGTGACTGCAACGACTGTCTATTACTAGACTTTTTATTCAAGTATCTTGTAGCATTGCTGCTTGGAAAAGGATGGAGTTAGTGGATGGGAGATGCCGGCCAGTGAGAACGACGTCATCTCTTTTTAGCTTGCACCCTTCTCTATTTAAAATCTTGATGTTCTTCGGGAGCAATCATATGGGCTCTTTGCGAGTTCATCTGGTAGTAAACACTTTACATTAATACTAAGCACCCTGTAGGGGGAAAATATAATACTAATATATATACTAGTAGTTGCCAGCTCACGGCTAGGTACATGGTAGTTATTCACACCGGCTTACCGAAGCAAAGTGTCAAGAGATATCGTGTATCATCATCCAGTTAAAGCCTGGAACTTCCGTAGGAGATACTGTTGCTCATCTTCCGACATGTGTGCTCGCTCTGTCATGGCATATCCATCTCTGAGCCGGGCAAGAAGGATCGCCTTCCCTGTCTTAGACCTGACGGCTGCTTCGATTGTTTTCGCGATGCCTTGAAAAGGGTATGCGACAAGCCCAATTCCAGCTATACGCAGCTACCAATCAGCGAATGTTCGATACGACGTGGGCAATCATTCGAATTATTGTACTTACCTGAAGGAACTTTAGTCGCAAGTCCAATGGTTCCTTTTGCAAATCCTTTAACAGCCCCTAGCGCCCCCTCTTCCCTCGCGCCTTTGATGGGCTGAGTGAATAACCCCATGAACCCATCTGTCATGCCGTCAACAAAGTTCTTGCCGCCCATAGTAGCTCCAGATTTCCAATCACGAACTGTGCCATACTGCTTAGGTTCCTCGCCATAGAGTCGAGGAACCTGTCGGAAACCCTCAGCAGCAGCATAGGGAATGTCTACCACCACGCCTTTGAAGTATGCTCCGGTGAACTTGCCAAAGCCCTTCAGAGAAGCTCCAACCATATTCCCTGCCGTTGATAACGCGTTTTTGTTGGGTCCATCGTTGATAGGAGTCTCCGTATGCATCGGTTCAGAAGGCCGCCTACTTGCCTCGGAAAGAGCCGTGAGAGATTGAGAAGACGACGATATTGTAGTTGTAGAAAGTGCAGATCCGGTCCGTGATATTGGTGGCTTTAGAGAACGACTAGATGTGTATTCCTTATATGGGTTGTATAGCATCTCGCCGGTCGACTTAAGCATTGCAGATCCTGTACTTGTAGAGGCAGAGAGAATGCCGGTCACGGGGTCCCAGCGACGGTTCTCGATATGTATCGGATTGATGGGGTTGCTAGTATGAACCTTGTGTCAGCACATGCACAGTTTTACTTAGCCTCAACTGAGAAAACAATGCTCACCAACGAAGCTCCTTTGCATTGATTTTGCCGTTGTTGATTAATAACTGAACGGCAACTTTAGAAAGGTCTATGCTATTCTTGGACCGCTTGTAAGTCCAAGTAGCAGGCTGATTAGGTATTAGGGAGCAACGGATCCTGTTCAGTGGGAGTTGACGATGAAAGGATCGAACGGCTGCTGCTACTCCTGACTCATGCTGCATCTTCGAAGCAATGTCTCGAGCAGAATTTGCCGCGGCTGGTCTCAGCGAGAAAGCGATAGCTTCAGCCAAATTCTCTGCGTTGAGTGAAGCATAAGGGATTGGCCTAGCTCCGGCGCCAGATCTTGCCACCATACTGCCCCAAAACGGTTGGCTTCAATAAGTTAGCATTGAGATTGGCAGAAAGTACTTTTCTATACAGTACTTACTCCCCAAAAAAGGGCACAATAGTAGTCGGTCGCCCGTTAGCAAGACCACACGCAGTTGTCCCAGCACCCCCATGGTGCACTACGGCAGCAACGTGCTTGAAAAGCCACTCATGAGGGCAATCATCAATGTAATAGACATTGGAACTGGGCACACCACCTATTCTGCTCCAGCCCCGTGATATAATGGCACGTACGCCAGTCCTCGCGATCGCTTCTAGAATGACCTCTGTCATTTTCTGAGGGTCATCAATCACGATGCTGCCGAAGCCTATATAAATGGGAGTCGCTCCCGACCTTAGGAATTCCTTCAGGTCGGGTGGCGGTTCGTACGATGGCATATCCCTGAAAAAGAAACCACAGACATCTAATCCATTAGTTTTCGATCTAGCCAGTAGCAATAATTATTCAACGAGTGCCTACCAACATGAGCTGGCCAGTCCCGCGGTTTCGGGATCAAGGCGGGTGACCAACAATAAGTGAAGGGGATCTTCAACGTCTCAGCCAGCCTGGGGCCTTCCGTGGTTGGAACCGGTTCCAAGTCGATGGATGCCCGCCATCGATTAACTACATCTCCCAACCTATGCGATAACGTTAGCCATGAGTTCTTACCGATCCAGTGATTGCACGCACCCTTGCCATGTGAGCCATTCTACCACACCATAAGAAACCCAGTTTGCCACATTTGGATTCATATCAGAGGAGCTCAGGTTAGCAAGCGGGTGAGGGAAAGCCTTGGTACTAGTCCAAGGCATGGTGAACATGAGGTGAACCGGAATGCTCAAAGCCTGCGCACAATGGACATGGGCAAAGCTAGGTGGATTTGCAATGATGGCATCTGCGACAAATGGGATCTTTGTAACAGGGTCATCTTCGATGCAAGACTTCCAGCAGCCATGAAGCATCTCATTTACCATTGCCCTCTTCTTCTGGACTTCTCCAGCGCGTAGGCTGCTGATTTGAGGTATTAACCCGGGGTTCTTGACCATGAAAGCCATCAACTCGGCAGGATCACCTCCGATAGGGTAGAACTCAAGCCCGGCTTGAGTGACAAAATCAGAGAAGATATCGTGTGTGGCGATTCGGACACGATGACCGTATTTTTGTAGCTCGGTTCCCAAGGCGATGAATGGTTGCACATCGCCTCTGCTGCCCACAATTTGTATCACGATGTTCAGTTGAATGCCAGGCTGCAGTAGCTCCTCCTTTACCGGTTGACCTTCGAAGTAATCTGGAGGTGGGTTTTGGAGATCTTCTTGCTGTAGCTCAATGATCGAGGCTAATGTTCTTGCCAAGCTTGAATCTAGATCGACATTGACGCGGCCATTGGCTTTGTTGATGGTTAGTCCTTCTTCAAACTGCTATGCTCATAGTCATGGAAATGATCTGCTCACCCTGTACGTCTGCCGATTCGACCACAAGTCCACCATCAGTGTATGGTGCATAGGGCGGCGGTGCCTGGTCATTTGATGATGAACCAGGGTTGCTATAACCCAGCCGTGAGTCTTTTCCCATATCTCAACGGCACACCCAATCGGTTGGAGCAACTTCCTATTGGAAAGAAGCAGTAATTGAAGATAAATCTCCATGGCATCTTTTGGGAGAGATATTTATGGTCATGAGGGACAGGCAATAAGCTTTGTGCAACCCCTGGGAGTGAGTCCCTGCTGTACTTCGTATTCGTTTTCCTTACGGGAAGTGGACTAGTGTGACACTGAATAGTCCAAAAGTAGAACTACAAGCAGTTTTCATCAGCTTGGCATGATGTTGAACTGCGATGGTACATTTCTTTGAAAGTATCTATGGCAGCGAGTGGCACTGGGAGACAGTAGTACTAAGGATCTACTACACATGAGGCGTAGCAATATAAAATGGGTCGAGCAATCGATGCTAGCAGCGGTGATATGCGGGTATAGCCTTCTTTTCTTCCGTCTAGAATACAAACCACGACAGTTATTAATATTGCTGTATCTGGAGGATTGATCCGCGCCGCTACAGCAAATAGTGTGTTGAATGCATCGATCTCATGCAGAGAACGACAATTACAAGCAGAAAGAAGGAAGCAACCGCGGGATGATGCCGGGATGGCACGTGCTAATTCCGTGGCAATTACCTGATCCGGTTAGCGGCGGATGTCGGGGAACGGACTGGAGAAGGCGGGTTGCTGATGACGGTCCAAGATAGACCGACTTTAAATCGAACTACTTCGTATCTTACTGCTGCCTCTCCATCCCCAACAAACCTCGTTGCATGAGGGACTCGCTGTCCAACTCACTAGGGGGAAATGATTCCAGATATGCCACCGGTTCCTCTTGGCATGCTCGATCTCTCCCAGTGATATCGGATCACCCCAACCATTTACGATCGCCCCCTCTCCGTCTCCTCGCATCCGCGCGACACACTTATACCCGCCAACCCACGGATGCTTACTATTGACAGATTCGCTTTCCGACTGAAACCAGATCGCTCAGGCATCGCTTCTGCTTCCTGAGCATCAGTCATGTCCATACTTCCATCGGCCGCTTCAGCCGCAACAGCTTCAATAACTGCTGCGCAGTCCCTGAACACCACTGCATCGATCGCCGCTCATTCCTCACTGTCCTCGTCATCGCGCGAACTCCTGTCGCTTCCGCTACGCGGACTCTCCCAGGCAGAGGCCTTTACATTCTCTACCGTGCCTAAGCAATTCGCCAAGCTAGTTGGGCTGCAGGATATGGCGACGCGATTTTGGGGGGCAGCTTCTGGGACGGGGCTGGAGCCTGAAGCAGTACTGGCAACGCAGACAGCCGCTGAAGCTGTCAGAGACGGCGTGGTTGATGCCGCTGCGCAGGCTGACTCTAGTCTCCATTTCTCCGACATCCTACAGGCCGTCATGAAATTTAGTGGTTTCTTCTCGTACCTGACGAGCCGGTGGTCTTTAACTTGCTTTACCGTGGTAAATACTGATTTCCCCGGCTAGTCGCTTCGTGAAATGGCCAGGCTAACCTATCAAGGCTCTTATATTGAATAGAATTACAATATATGCCTCCACTAGAAGACACCTTAATCTGGATTGGACTAGGCGATTGGCTCTGCGCATCGTTCCTATTGCCCTTTTCGTTACTCAAATCTACGCACTTCTTCGGTCTATCCGTTGTCAAACATCCCCGGAATACTCTACCATACGCTATGGCACGCCGGGTAAACGCTTGCTATTCGATCATTCCGGCGGAGGGGGCTTCTTGCATGCCCTAAGCTCCACCCTTTTACCTTGGGAAACAGACGAGCAGTCTTGCAGTGCAGTGCACATGGGCCGTCCTGTAAATGCCTCAGACATATCATATGGCTCTTTCCGACTGCTCTGGCCAGTTTTCATCCGCCTCTGCCTCAGTCACTTTGTCGAAACCGTCTCCTGCGCTTTGCAGGGACGAGCAGTCGTCACAGAAGCTGGCATGTCTATTTTCGAACACTCGCTTGCCTTTGCAGAGGCAGAATCTGTAATCAGCCAGACTCTTGGTCTTGGTATCTTTGGGTTGTCAAAGCAAAGCAGTGCGAAAGATATCGCTGGAGAGGGCGGGCAATCTACCCTGCATATCCTGACCCGAACTCAAGCTTTGGAGCGAATGAATGTCACTCCCGAGTTATTGCTGATCGCGATGATCTCGTGTTGTAACAGTCTGACCTCTAATGTTCTAGATGTCATTGGCAGACAAAGTCGTTACCGCTTGGTGAATACTGCTTTTTGGGGCCTATGCTTCATGTCGGCTATGGCGTGGGGCTTGTTCGGCGGTTCTCCAGTTGGAAGCGACAGTGTCGTTTTAAAATTTCCGACTGTATGCATTGTGGGGTTCATTCCTCACCTTCTCATCCTGCTAGGAATCATCGCCTGTGTCTTCATATACGTGATTGCCCTGTTAATCACAGCCTTCTCGCTGCCTATGCAGACATCGGGCTCTTTGACACTTCGAGAAAGATTTTCCCTTGCACATGAGAATATGCAGGGCGCCAGTCAGATTCAAAATATTCGTATTAATTGGCACGAGGACTTTTACAGCACGCTGCTAAGGATCGGTTACACGGCTTTGACGGCTGCCAGCGAAGCAGTCTTTCTCAATGAAGGAAGGCGGGTTTCCGCGCGCAGGATGACTTGGTTGGAGCAGGATAGGCTGGCCGAAATAGAGTCTCATCGCAAGCAGTCATCTTGGAACCCCCGCAGTGATCCCTCCGCGGATATGTGCTCTGAGAATGGGGAGTTAGACTTCGATATCACCGAGTCAACCGTGGAATGGGAGAGCGGATACTCGCGCGAAAAGAAAATTGAGAAGCCAAAGCCAGGCTCCAGGCCTGTTCGCCCGCAGAATGATGCAGGTGGTGTGGGTACCTTCAGGGGCGTGGTTCGCTGTTACCATGGATTTGCGTTCTTCCGAGGCATCTTCTATCTTGTCCTGAAGTGGGTTGCTTACGGCATTGACAAGCTTCTCTCCCGGATGGGCATAACTGCCCGGCCACAGTGGTTGAAATCCGCGGTAGGGTCACCAAAGGACTCACAGAAGAAGAGAAAGGGCAACCGCATGGATACTCTAGACTTTTGGATTTTGACAGATGATGGAGCTTTAGAGCTACCCGACGACCATGAATTCGATGTAGAAAGAGAGATGCGAAAAAGAGAAAGAAACCAGGCCGCTGGCTGGGAGGAATCCGATGAACGCCGACTTGACGACAAACTCTACGGTTGGTGGAAAGTGGGAGGCTCATGGGGCAATCAGGACCAGAGCTCTGATTACGCACCTTCTGTTGACGACTGGGAGGACACTACGAGTGTCATATCCATGTCGACGACGACCGGCTCCGAGTGGGAAGGATACGAATCCGACGGTCGTCGCACTCCCACTCAAGACGACCCCTTTCCGGGTCGTTTCTCCCGAGAAAGTACTCCAGCTCAAGAACCGCTCGTGGATATCGGCGCCTTGGCACGACTGCTGGATCCTCGCGATCAAGAAAGCAGACACGAAGCGCGCATATTGTCTGCTCACCTGGCTGCTGGCCGTGAGGGTCGGATAATGACCCGTCGGCAGTTCCAAAAACATGTTGAACGGGACCGAGCCCAAATCCTGCTTAGCTCACGATTAGCACAGCCCTCTACACATGAGTCTACTAACGGCAAACGCAAGCCTACCTCTGAGGAAGAAGCCGAGCTTCTCGAAAACCTCATCCTCTCGCGAAGAGCCGAGATGCGGTCCGCTCCAAATGCAGACGAGCAGACGTGGGAATCGGGTGCCTCGGGTCTTGGACCCAGCGGGCCACCGTGCGTCATTTGTCAGACTAACCCCCGTTCTATCATCACCTGGCCATGTCGGTGTCTCTGTATCTGCGAGGATTGCCGTGTTAGTCTCGCCATGAATAACTTTGGAAACTGTGTGACATGCCGCCAGGACGTTGCAGGTTATGTCCGGTTATGGGTCCCATAAGTCTTGTTGTCTTTTCCGCATCGGCCTCACGCTTGACATATCGAGGTCCTCATTTAGCAACATTAGCGTAATTTGAATGCAAAGCGATAGATAGAGTGATTAATTTACATTGTACCATCTAGGATAATATACTGCAGTGCGGATATAGTAGTTCCCATCCACACCCTATATATACCATTCCTTGAAAGCTGTACTACCAATAAAGACATCCAGATACTATCATCATCAACCAGTATAGCCACGAAGTAAAACCACCCATTAAGCCCTCTCCCCCTAAGCCCACCAACACAAGCTGGAAGGACCTACTAGCACATCCATCACAGTACCTTAGTCTTCATTTTCTACATTAACACGCAGCCGTGAACCCACTCGCTCACCCAACAACAACAAAAGCAACAAGCAAAATTCCCACTCATATTGAATACCAGTCTCACACTCTAACACACAAAGATGCTGCTGGTCCAGATTCGAAACACGCATTCACTGACCAGTCCTCACCACATACATACATACATGCATCGATCGCGTAATGTATACTTCCTCACGTCAACACCGTCATTTACTAATACAGATCTCTTCGTTTTCGCTCGTTCTCTCGGCGTTATCGCAGCATACTCGTTTCTTCTCGGCGTTATCACGAATACGCGCGTTCTCACATTCAGAAGTTCAGAGGTACGTTTCTTCGCTATCGACAGGACTGAACTGATCTGAAAAGACTAATCATTATCTCGAATCCAGTAAGTGATGATGGCTCAGTCCATTCGGGGGGGTTCTTCTCGCTCAATGAAGAGGAGAAGAAAAACAAGGGAAAAACTGACCATGGGTCAATCCACAGATAAGGTTGCTGTCGTTGGGATATCAACAGTAAGACAGATTCAATCTGGAGAAAAAGGAGAGGATGATCAGAAAATCTGACGAGAAATACCAGCGCAACCATGGCGTCGTCCACTGATCATCCTCATGACAGAGAAAATAATCAAGACCATAACAAGCCCAACAGACCGGCCCTGAAAATCGACACATCCATCACCGCACGTACTCCTACTACTACCGCTCGCGCCAGCGGCGGTACTGAGGTGCCGTCTCCAGAGACGTCTTCCCCACCGCAGAGTGCCGTTAGCTCGATGTCGACTGCATCGTCCATTCTGTCTAACTCGTCAAGGGAGTTCACATTGCAGCTCGTCCATACCAATGAGGCCGGTGGTGATCCCGACGACGATATCGTCATTCTGATGTGGCCTGTTACTCCTGTTTCGGCTCCAGCTCCTGCACCTTCTCTGGCTTCGTCCCCGGCTTCGCCGGTCAATGAGACTGCCCCCGCTCAGGAGCAGGATCATGTCCAGGAGCTGGGTGGCGGGGGTGTCCAGATAACTTGGTTCAATCAGGCAACTGTGGAGGATATCGTTACAGCTATGGCTGAAAGTCTGATCTCCAATGTGCCGGGCGCCGATTGTGACGAGGGTAATGTCGACCAGATGGATCAGAGTACGTTTTCTGGTAGTAGTGCGTTAGCCAGTTAGAAACTACTATGAAGAAATATGCTAATGGGTACCATGAAGCACTCACTAACAGCGAGGGAGTCATCGACGACATCCACCAGGACACAGCGGTTACTGAGCCCTGCGACCCTGGATATGAAGCTGACACTTCGACTAATCTGGACGACGACAGTGACTATGAGATCGTCCATGCTTTCCGGGAAAACGTTGTCCGCGACGGCCACGATGATGCTGTCGAGCACCAGGAGGGTCATGGGCATTCCGCGTCGTCGGCCGTTCAAGAGTGACTGATTGATGAACTCGCCCTGTCAGTCAGCTACCACCTCCCCAGTCCCGATTGGGGAGTGTGGTAGCTGACTGACAGCGAGGATCGCGTCTCGTGAAAAGTTCGCTCTTTGGCGTTTGGTTTTCTTTTCCGTTCAGGTTGAGCGTGGAGTAAAGGGAGTTAAGGATCAAAGGGGAAAGAAGTTTTAGAGACTTGCTTTATTCTTATGGGGTTGGAGTTGGGGGTGTTGTGTTGTTTAGCAGGTCTCGGTTGGTGGTGAGGGAAAGAAGAAAGAATGAGCTCGGGGGGTCTGCTCTTTATGTATGCTAAGCTTGGAGCTAGCGTACGGTCGTTTACTATCGTTTACGATAATAACGAGTTAATATGATCATTTCTGAAAGCTTCTGCTGATATTGAGTGTTCCTGGGCTCGTTTCATGGGTGAGTATGTGGTGCAGTCGCCGTGCATTCAATTGAAAGTGGTTTGTAGGTGTGTTCCGGACCCGGCTGGGTCAGAGTTCTACAGTGATTTCCTGCACATTCCAGTGCCTTGCTGGGTTTGCGGGCTTAGGAAGCACGTATTAGATGAAGTGATAGTGCAATGCCCAGTATAGGCAGTAAGATGGTTTCAAAATCAATCAAGATCTCTTTCTTGAACAAAACATCAATAATATTAAGACCATGCAGAGACATGAATGGGGCTCAGTAAGAATCCATATTGGGGTGCACCCAGTGGAACAGAAGTAAAAGTAACACCAAAACGTAACTGAGAGAGGCCATAGCAGCAAAATAGCAGAAGGAGAGGCATGCTATACACTTCTCATATTCCATGGAAGAATCCAACAGTCTGCCTTGCTACACCGTAAGTCTGTCTATAGTACGCACACTGCAGCAGCAGCAATAACTATAGCCCCAGCTACACCCGCCTTGACAGTCGACGCAGAACCAGTCGAAAGGGGAGAGGATGGAGATGCCGTAGATGATGCATGCCCAGACTGACTGTGTGAGCCTGGAGTTGACGGAGCGTGGGAGCTAGATGCCGACGCTGATGCAGATGCGGACGAGGAATGCGACACCTTCGAAGATGATGCAGCACTAGAAGAGGATGCTGTGGGGAGGGTCGCTGATGCAGCGCTTGAGGAGACAGCTTCTGAATCAGTAGTTGAAGTCCTGGGCATAGACAAGGTCGTAGTCTCAAGGCCACCGCCCACCGGAGGGATAGAGATAGGATGGCCTGCGATGGAACACTGTCGGACGACTTCGCTAGATACGGCTGGCAAGACATCAGTTTAGTCCATTACTCAAGGTAATGGGTTGGCTCCTACCAGACTGGTCGGCAACGTTGCATGCTTTTTGGACGCAGGGGGTAATGGTGGTGGGAAGATCTGGCTTCTGGCAATGACAAGCAAAGTCTGTCAACTGTGAGCATCCATCATGCTGAAATGCACTGATGAAGCAGTTTATCTAAGGGAAGAGAGACGATGTCAGTCAAGTGGACTCCATCAGCTGGGCGTTGAAGCTTACAGAGCACGAAGGGATATTGGGGAGCTGTGCAGTAGCAAGGGTGCTAGCGAGCAGAACGAGAACTGTGTGAAATAGCTGCATTGTTGAGATACTTGGCTTTCTACTACTCGAAGTTGTTGTAGCTTGCGTCGAGAAGAAGGTAAGTGTAGGCCAGAGAGCGATAAACGATGGCTACCAGACAAGTAGATCAGAACAAACGCATGGGCAGAGGACCTCGCTTCTTATAAGCTTGTGCCACTGTTTCACGGAACTTTGGAACCGGTATCACATGCATATAATGCTCCCATTGAGGCATATCGCATTGCCCCTTTTCCATGTAGATTGAGGACATGCAGTGGGAGATGCTCAATCCATCTAGGAACCTCCGGCCCATTGGAGTGATCGGGCAAATACCATCTTTCAATGCGCACGGCCATTCAATTAAATATGTCTTACATTGTTGGCCGATACCCTTCTTGACCTATGCGTTGGGTTGTTCTCGGAAGGACATGTATAGTATAGGCGGATATCACTGCCGAATGAGCAAATTGCGACGTAGGACAGGTAAAATTGCACGTAGTTCGGTGACACGCGGATTCCTGTCCAGAGCGTGTGACAGTCGCTGTTATACTATATTGAGAACCTCAAATTAGAACCGTTGTAGAACCAATGGTATCTGTTGTCAATGTGAGACCAAATAACAAGGAGCAGACTTCACTAAGCGGATTCGAGGATATTTCAGCGACAGGCATCAGCTATGGAGCCTGGAAACAAACGGCCGCAGTCATCTGGTGCGATGAGCATGCAGGAAAGACAACACCTGGAAGCGTTGAGGTCCAAATATAGCGACTCCCCAGTTTTGATCGTAGATTGGCCAATGCAAGGGCTTCTTGGACGTCTCGAAGGGGGCTTGCAGTGAACGTCCCGTAGGACAGTGTTAGTAGAACCAATTGTTTGGTAGCACCGAAAGGGGCTTTTTTGTTCAACCAACCGAGTAGGAAGAGCTCAAACGCAACGTCTCCCGGAGCCTAGACATCTTCGGGTCCTTTACACGGAAGCATCCAACCCTCTTTGTGAGATACTGTGTGACCAGAGTGGTCAGGTTCAACTTCGCAGTTGCTGATCAGAACTTTCTTGAGTGGCGTTTTGAAAATCACTAGTTATACAGTCGCCCAGCCATGTAGTTCAGATGCTTACTTATGTACCTTGATACCTGTTACTTTGAGTGGCGACTTGTTCGACAGTGTCTGCAGATCAAGAGCGTACACTGGTGAGAATGAAAAATGGCAATCAAAACAATGTAGGTCATTCCAAAGTAGTAAACCAAAGGGTATGCGCAGAGTTATCCCAAACGCCTGTCCAACAAACACCCTGTACTCCCAAGTCTGTCCCCCGCTGGCCCCCGGGACAGAAATATATAATGCGCAGTGTCCCACCAAAAGCATACTCAAGACAGCAGCTCGTCAATGTACGCCCTCTGTTTAGTGTCTTCATCCGGTTTCAACAACACTGCCAACACCTCGAGAGGAGGATTGAGGCCTAGCGTATGCGCACGTCTCCATCGCTTGAGTCGAGCAATTCCAATGCAAGGCTGCAGTGATAGAGCGTTAGTTCAAGGGAACATGTGGTGTACGAACGAAGTCAGCATACCCCGTATTGGCTTGAAAGGTCGAAGTTGCGCAAAATCTTCTCTCGTAGATCGAGGCCCTCCTGGTGAACTGGTGGAAATGATCAGCGTACTTATCACAGGAGTTGCCTGACTGGGATGTGTGACTCACCTCTAGGCCCTTGTCTCTTTGCCTCTTCCTTCTTCCAGTATTGTTGCAGTTGCCTTTCGGTGATCTTCTCCGCCTTAGCATCCTCTTCTGACCGTGGTTGCTCAATCTCCGCCCGAGCCTGCTGCCTCACGGCAAGCTCTGCCACATGGGGCTGCGAAGGCTCCGTGGAAGTAACAGAAACCTGTTCTGCTTCGGATACATCGTCTACTGTTGGAGTATTTGATCGAGAAGCGTCAATCAAGTCGAGATCCTTGGCTTTCTGAGAGCGTGTGGACGGCGCTGCTGATGGCTTGGTGACTCTGGACTTAGAGCCGAACGAGAGGGTCGCCTGATTGGAACGAGTGGCGGCAGTATTGCCTCCGCGGCGACGAGTGGGAGGCATTTTGCAATTGTATTCAAACGACTTCTTCTATCAATAGGTATGTAGCCAATATGCAGCACTTCGATGAACCAAGTCCAGGCTGAAGGAAAATCCAGGACTACGTTCTGGGCCAGGCTTGGTTGAGAGTGTGGGGGAGACGATGTCATCATGGTTCTGTTGCACATGGCAACCGCCGCTACCGGATTTACTTCCACCAACCCCAATCCAGTTCCATCGCCTCTGGAATCCCAGCAGAAGTTGTTCTTGTTTGCTTACTTGAATGGTATGGTTGAGTATAAAATAACGTTCTTCATGGGTTTTTACTAGCTATATAAATTTATAGCTAGTCAGTCTGTCGACATGTCTCACGTAGTCAACCCGCCGGCTTACTGTACTATTGGCCTGATAACGAAGAATATTGCGGGGTAACTAAGTACTAGATAAGTACTTAGTAGTGGTACCTGGAATTGGTGGACGAAGCAGCCTCCCGGCCTGCAGCTGACCAAGGGCCCTTTTTCAAATTGTAAGATAGTAGTATCCACTTTGGTGGTTCAATGGGGATATCCTGTAGAAGATCACATTTAAGGTGAAACTGCGCATGCCACTACGTTGCAGAAATCTGCACGTTTATCTACTATGCTAGTGCATCGATAGGTTGACTTTACCTGCTTTGACTTGACTAGTGGTTATATTGCCAATGTTCTTTCGTCACTAATATACAGTATGGTGGTTGTGATTGATAATCCTTGATTGGAAGATTTACCTGCTTATCGCTAGCTAGTATGGGTCAGTCACATGGCATCATCGATAAGAAACAGAAACAAGACCTGCAGGGCGGGAACCAACGAACCAACGATTGACCGCTTTTTGCAGGGGAGCTTCAAGTGGAATCCATCCAAGCATGGATCAGCGCCATGGAAAGATCCAGCTCTACCTGTCTATTCCACAGAATGCATGAATTGAACTTAGTTGACTGAGTTCACCGTAAGCAGATTGATAAGAGTCCATACACAGTAAAGGAACAGGAGCGGTCAGCTAAGAATGCATCCAGGATGCATTTGCTGTCAATATTTACTTCGTACAGGAGGATGATTAATAGACCAGGCGGCACCCAAAGCTGTTAGTGCTTAATATGCAATCAATTTGCCGCCCAGAGTTGCTTCGTCGTTTCCCGCTGCATAATCATTAACCACGCCCCATTTATTGAGAACGACGATCAATAGTTAAATGTTCTGCCTGGTGGAGAGCTCAATAGTTTAGTTAGCACCAAGAGAAGTTGAAATGTGTCATTAGCTGTCTTCCGAGGACGGAGTGCCCTGCTCGTATTGATAATATGCGGACGGTCTGACAGGGGGAATGGAGTCGGGGATGAGTTAAGTTGGTTTTAGTAGTTCCTTCGTTATACTCCGTAACTGCGCACAGAACAATCGCGGCTGGCTGGCCTGACAAGGGTCGGGAAAGAAGGTCCAGTTCAAGTAGTTCCGTGGCTGCCGCTGGGAACTTAACCTGCTTAGCCGCCGCAGATGTTCCCCATCACCTTCTCCCCTCCCCACATCAGCGCTTGTAAACAACCCTCGATTGCTTCACCAACGTCGCACCAGCTTTCTCTCGCTTTCCAACATCCTTCGACACTTACCCCGTTTTTCCTCCCTTTGCCGCTTCCGAATTCCTGTCTGACGCCGCCCGCACTCGAAGCGGTAATCGCCTAGCCTCGCCCAGACTGGGTCCGAACTTCACGTTCCATAGCAACGAGAGGGGTGTACCGCAACTGCGCCCTCACAATACCTTGGGTGCAGCGCTATTAAGCGGGTTTCACACACCATATTTGGCTTCTCTATGAGATTACCGCCGATATATAGCTCTTCGAGGTCGCATCTTCTCCGCCGAATCCCCGGGGCGCATCCCTCTCACCCGCCGCGTGCCCATGGTGGTGCGGTAGCAGTGCTCTCAGCATGGCCGCCTTCGTGCGAGTGTCGGGGCCGCCGAATGGCCATTTCCTGATCGGCTACCCCGGTATATCTGCAACAATGGTGAGGACCGACTATTCTCTGGTCTATCTCTGATACATACAGCCCTTGCTGACCCCCAGAAGCCACGTATCGAAGGCAAGGTTGAGATCAGGCCTAGCGTCGGCATCACAGCTCCCGTCAATGTGTCCCTCGTCACCATATCCCTTCATCGCCGTGAGACAATACATCCCTCCGCCGACTCCGTGACCAAGAAGCACCTCGCGCCCCCTAGGAAAGAAATCACGGATATTGTGGGCAAGGAGATGCTCCTCTTCCGCTGCCCAGCGGGTCGAGAGTACGAGGAAGTGATATCCATGGATTTGCCCTTCGTCCTTTTCATTCCATTCGGGCGCGGAGGGCCGGACGCTTCGAGAAGAGTTCCACCCGCCAGTTTACAACTCCCTAGTCGCACCGCAGAGACATTCTATGAAATAGTGGTCATGGTTCAACAAGGTCATTCGGATCAGCGAAAATACACATTCCCGGTTCCCATCTCACGCTATGACACCCTCTCCACATTTGGAATGTACAACCGTCCTGAGTCGGCGGAAAGGGTGTCGGACCATTTGGTCACCTTGGGCATATCTTTGCCTCGGTGGTCTTACGGCCCCCTTGACCCTGTGAGCGTTTACGTTAAACTATCGCCCAATCTCGACTGGATAGGCAAAGCTAGGAAAGTCACGATCAACAAGATTACTATCGGTATTGATGAGGAGATCATCTACAACCATGAAGGTGACGAGCCACAGCGGAAAGTGAGGACCTTGACGAAAAGAACAGAGCCCATTGGGGTGAAGCTACCCCCGTCGGGCTTTTTGACGAATCTGGGGTTAGTATTTCCAGCCAAAGATCTTCGCGACTCCAAGGGTATTCTTCCCAGAAGCGATATGGCTTTTCCGGCTTATGCTGTGACGGGGTTTACGACAACAGCGAGTCTTTATAAAATCGAATACTATCTCACAGTAAAGGTTCGTCTTCCCACCTGCAGGTGCAGCCACGTGACTTTGGCTAACCATCATACCACAGGCTCACTTGACTTCCGCCAGAGATATTGTCATTCGACAGCCGATAGTTGTATGTCCTCTTGATCATGCTGGTTGTAAAGAGGAAATGGATGCTATCGAACAGGCTGCCCGCGAGGCGGTTCATATCAATCCGGATAATCCCATGCTGCCGCTTCCCTCTATCGTGCGGCCCAACGATCCCAATGCTCTTCGTCATCTGGGTGTTGCTATTGTCGGCAATCAAAAGAAGCCCTTGATAGATTGAGCCACCGTTGCCAGTTCGGACTCAAAAGTCCACCATTTCCAACGAAGCATGCCCAGGCTTTCGGCTGCGGGCTAATCGGGCCATTTCACAGCGCCAGCCCCAGAACAACGCCTGATACGCGCCGATAGAGCCTGACCGCGTCGTATATTTCTTTTCTGATTCGGCGTGCTTGCTGTGACGCAAGAAGCGTCATTACGTCTTACGAATGCATGGGCTACGGAGTTTTGTCGTTGCATGGTTTTCCTGGTAGCCATTTCGTTCCATTTTTTGTTGGCCGGAGCAAAACGGGGTGTTTGGGTTGCCTTTGCTTCATACGGAGGAAAGGCCGGGGGGAGAGGTTCCATTCTGGTTGGTTCACGTGCTTTCCCATGCATGTTCTAGTGGTGCATGCGCAATATAATATGTAAGATCTACCTTTTCACGGCTCAATTTTGGAAGCGAAAGAGAAGGAACCATTATCAGCAGCTAAACTTGGATTCAACATGTGGCAGACAGGGCAGATGGATGGTTCCGTCCGCATAGTTCACAATATTTCTTGCTTATCACGCAAGGCCGACTATCTGGAGTGCTATATAGCGATGCTAATTCCTGGAACGAAATAGAACGAGAGCCACAGACACAGCGAGGCGAGAGGCTCGTACTTTTTCAATCATCTGCCGCAGCAGCAGTATCCAACACATTCAGATTTTGTAGGGTATTCGTAGAACATCGTAGCATAATACATAAAACAGCCATACAGTACGCTTGTCAAGACATAGACTCTCCGCATACAGGGACTCGCGTCAAGAGGTCGTTAGAATGCAAATTAAATAATCAGAAATCCAGCCCCTCCATCCCCACCTCATAGTCCAAGTCATCTCTCCTCCCCAATCTTCAAGAATTCCATAGCAGTGCTCAACATATCCGGATCAAGCTCGCGACGATTGCGCTCATTCATATCCTTCTCCACACGTCTCATAAACTCCTTGAGCATCTCCACAACACACTTGTATTGTGGTGAACGGGGACCGAATGTAGTCAGTGTGTTGGAGAGATTCACGGTGATCTAAACTGCGTTAGACGGGTAGGCATAGATTATGGATGTAATTTACCTGGGTGAAGATCGCTTTATAGTCAGGACGAGGATCTTCCATTCTGGAGAAATGGGCACAAAGGGTGCTGCTACTGGAGCAATGTCGAGGAATTTTATGATGGTGATGGTGGTGCGGACCCTTTTGAATTTCAACCCCGCGGTTGTCCGATCTGATAAGCAGACCTGAGGAGAATGTTGGGCCTGAGAGGTTTAGGCGTCAGTCGTCAACGCTGCGCACAAGAGCGGTCTATGGGTGTGTGACAGGGGCAGAATTGCTTGGTTGGAGTGTTGTGGATATGGTATTGGTCTTGATTGGGTTATTATCTAGCAGGGGTGGTGAATTTCTCCCGGAATATGCAATAATGTACTCCAGACGCAATATGATCACACTGCAATTTATTGAATCATCAGTACGATGACGATGTCGAGATATTAGTACTGTTATATATTATAGATACGCTCAAAGTAAAGGCAATAATGGTATGAATTTATTACAGAAAAGCATCCTGATGCGCTACGTCTGGTTCTCATTATCGATGTCCATTGTTCGGTGTTAAATCATCAACCGATAAGAAGCTGTTAAAGAAGTTCCCCGCATAAAGGATACCTAAGTATGCTAATGAATAAGTAAGCAACTCTTTTAGGCGCCCCAATTGTTTCAGCAGAACTGGTTGGAAATGCAAGTTGAAAGGCAGACCGCAGACTAAGCCCGAAACTAAACCCCGTGCATTCAGATTTTCTTATCGGAAGTGGATATCGATCCGCCCGCGCAGCTTAACTTTCTTTCCACTCTCGCTTTCCCCTCACGCGCTCTACATCCCCGACCGATATTACATGCTCTCTGGATTGGGTCATTGTCGGCCGGGATCAAAATGGCTGACATAGATGAAGCCGTCATTCATATGCCCTCGCAGGATGCGAGCGCTCACATTGACACCGACCTCTCCGACGAGACTCAGGACTTCCGCATGCTGAACAGCATTTCCTTGTCAGTGTTACCACGCGTCTATCTGCACCCTACCCCAATTACAGCTTAATGCGCAAATGGCATACTGACAATGGAGGATACAGCCTCACAGATGGTTCCCAACAAAGTCTCCCCAAACGCGGTGAAAAGGACTTCGAACCGAATCCGACGCTCTTCCAAGCCGACATTCTCTCCGCCTCGCGGCAGGCCATGCACAATGCCCTTTCGTACCCTCGCCTACACCACCCGAAGACACAGGTTGTTGGAATATACTCTCCCAGTGGGCCGATCCCGCTGCGATCTGCCCAAAAGCTAGATACCATCACGGAAGAATCGGAGCCCTCGAAACCCGCAGGCTCGGATATAGGCGTCCACCCCGACTCGTGTGTCTATGTTCCTGCCCCGAAGGGACAGTACTTCAAGTCGATAGGTCAGGCTGATCGTTGGAATCGCGTATGGTTACTTCCGGAGGAGGCTCTGTATCTACTTGAGAGAGGGACCTTAGATATCAGGTGGCCGTGCTCGGAGGTCGGCTGTGCTGACGACGAGGGGACGGACGACTCTGGTATCCCGATGAGCTTACAGGCGGCTTATGCGGCGTTCATGGGGCGGAGCGGTCTGACCAGTGAGCGGTACTCGGTTTATACGGGATTGAGGCGGTTGGGGTATACGATCATTCGTGCCCCGGGGTGGCACGATGCAGAGGAGGGCGATGAGACTAGCGAATCACAGCAAACAGCACTAGAGAAGCCCCAGGGTCTGGGACTTGGGATTGCTGGGGTGTTTAGGCAGCTTTTGCAGTGGCTGTACAAACCTGGTAGTGCTACAACTGCGTTGGGGCCTGTTGTGGGCCTTGGGATTCATCGGAGTTATGGTACGTTTCCGGCTCTCACTGCGCTCGCGGTTATGCTGACGATCTTTCAGATGACATATATCAGAAGCTCTCTATCATCCCCTGGTATGACCCGACTGCTTCGCCTTCTCCCCCGCCTCCCACGACACCGCCCTACCGTGTAGTCTTCCATATCTACAAGCCATCCACACCCTTCAAGAAATCCGCCCCTCCGACCCCTGACTTTAGGCTCGCCGTTGTGAATGCGCGCACGCACACCACGATCCCTACATCCGCTCAGCTTGGCGCATTGCTCGAGAGCACACCGCTCGACCCACCAGTGGGCGAGAAGATGAGTCGCCAGCTGTACCAGCGACTCCGATACGGATACAGGAACGTGATCCTGGCTGTAGTCGACGAGGGCGTCGTGAGTTATCTCCGAATTGCAGACTCAGCATTTGGCAAGGAAAAGCTTTATAAGCAGCAGAACACGAAAGGAAACAAAGGACCCTGGCGTCCACGGCCCAAAGGACGCTGAGGGCTTATCACATTCCATTATACAGCTCATGCTAAATACATTCCCTGAAGGGATAAGAGCATTTCTCCCCTGGAATAAGGCCCGAGATCCACCAGAACGGACACGGACTGAATAGAGGGGATGGTAACAATCTGCCATCATCTTTAGTACACCCGTCCACGGAGTGAAAGGACGGATATAGATGCTCCGATGGCGAGCCAGTGGCGTTGATAGTCCACTGACCAAGTGAGATGAAATGTGCAGTGGAGGGAGTCCCTAAAAGGGACAAGAGACAGCAAGATATCCGTCTATTCTTCCAAGTTATATACCCAGATCATAACGCCACCCTACCATCTGTTAAGAAGCTGAAACCACAACCACCAAACTCCATATGATATACAATAGAGACATAGAGCCATCATGTCGCGTTATTCGTAAACCCAAGCCATCCCACTACAATAAACCTAGAGCCACAATCAGTACAAACCCCGCACCAATCAGCCCAACGTAAACTCAATCCACTTACCTACACTATACAAAGGAACCACAGACCAAACCAAACCAAATCACACCTCAATCAAGCATCCAAATAATCCGCCGCCATCAACAACTCCAAACACAACTCCGGCGGAATATCCATATCCGGGACATACGTCTGGTTCTTATTCTTCTCATTGTAGCAGAAATACTCGCACACTTTCTCCAACACGATGCCGCTGATATTCTCGAGGACGCATCGACCGGTAACGGATTCTGAGAAACGACCTATAGGAAAACCCAACCAGTTAGCAAATGCCACCACCAAAATGAAACGAAGGGAAAGAAATAAAAACTCACTAGACGGCTCTAACATGCGACGTATCGTCCCGGACACACAGGCTGTGCTGCGCGGGATGACGAATTCGAATCCATCGCCGGACACCAGAGTCACGTATTCGGACTGTGAGGAGGAGGAAGAATCTGAAGCGGACATGGTGTGAGGGAGTGGGTGGGCGGGGATGTAGAAATAAATAAGTAAGTAAGTAGATGGAGCAAACGAGAGAAATGGAATTCGATGGAAATATGGATGGCAAAGGTACGAGACGCGGCGCGGTGCGGCGGGCGATAAGTGAGTAATAATCGGCTTTGGTTCCGCGATTTAATTTAGGCTGCGGTTACTTGATAGGCTCCAGTTTCGAGGTGGTCCGTGCTTAAGCTCCGATGCCGATGCTGTCACTTCTTTTGATTGTCTAGTTAACTATCTTTATCCTGGTGTCTGTTGTGGAGAAACTTGTACGCAATTAGTTGCAGGTTTGGGTGACAAGGGTCTTGTTAAGTAGGGAGTAGTAAGTTATGCATTACTCTTAAACAGCACATCGACTAATTAATTGTAGCACCATTTCAGCCTGTGCAAAACTACCAGAGGATTTCGGTATTTCTTAAGACTATACACTTCTTCCGCTCCTAGTCACAGATGCTATAAGGCAACTATCATCATACCATGTACCAAAGAAACATCCTATGCCTTCGTGGCATAGCCCTCAGGCTTCAGACACCTCACCATCACCTCCCACACCTCCCCCTCTCCACTCAACGAGTATACTCCCAATTCACCCCCTCCAACCGCCTATCCAACCGAACATGCATGATAACCGGCGGAACATCCGGCATTGGATTCTCCATCGCGGAGCGCTTCCTCCAAGAAGGTGCATCGCGAGTGATCCTAATCGGACGATCCTACGAGCGACTCTACAACGCCGCATCTCGACTTCAAATCGACTCACCAGGCATCCCCTCCACGGAACCTCCCCAACCCATCACAAACCCAGAGAAACACCAGCTCCTCGAATCCTCGTCCAGAATCAGCCTCCTAATCGGCGACATCGCCGAAGCAGGGTCCTGGACGCGCGAGCTCGAGAAAGCCATGGTACGTACATCCTCCCTCACCTCCCTCCCTACAATCCATACCACTGTATTGGAGAAAGACCACCCTCACAAATAACACCATGAACGAGCAACACAGCAAGCCACAAATCCCGACATCCTCGTCAACGCCGCCGGCCTCTCCATCTCCTCCATACTACCTAAATCCGAACCAACGGATATCTCCCGTATCCTGCGCACGAACCTCGAAGGAGCCCTTCTCACTTCTCGAGCGTTCATCCGCGCCTCGATCCGCAATCGGATGAAGAAATCTACCACCACCACCCCAACCAGTACTAGTGGGAATTCCGCATCATCAAAATGCATAATCAACATCTCCTCCCTGCTCGCCCACAAATCCGGAACCGGCGCGGTTCCCTACGCAGCATCAAAGGCCGGAGTCCTCGGTCTGACGAGATCAGTCGCCGTTGAAGCGGCAGCTTCGCTGCGTGATGTAGTGGTTAGATCGAATGCTATTGTGCCGGGGTATATCGAGACGCCTATGATTTCTGGTTCGTTTATTCCCTACGTTTCTATGCTATAGTTGGACGTTTAATGGAAGAGGAAAGTTGTTTGCTGACACAATGGGATAGATTTCTCAGATGGCGAAACGGCTCGGTTGAAGGAGAGTATTCCCGTGCGACGATTCGGGAGACCGGAGGAGGTTGCGGATGCGGCGGTGTTTTTGGCGCAGAATGAGTATGCGAATAATTGTGTGTTGAATTTGGATGGGGGGTTGAGTGCTATTTAGTATTTGAATGGGGTTGGAATGTATGGTTATCTGAACTGTATTATGTGTGTACGATACGTGTGATGTGGTGTGACTTGTACCTAACAAGAGCATCTCCTTCAAATGACTTAATTTTATCCAGCATTTCACAGAAAACATCATAGCTAGTAATCATTCATTCTATCGAAACCGATCATGCGGGGTTTGTGTATGCAAAGTAGCGTGATAAAGTATTTTACATGAGAATAGTAAACAGGAACAACACAAAAGCAACAATCCCAAATCAATCAATCATGCGCCAGATCTGCAAAGCCAAGAGAGCAAATAGTAAATATCACTATGTTGGTCGAAGATGCCGAACCCCGGTTAACTACCCACCTTGGTATCATTTTAATCATCATCAATCAGGATTGCGCCGCCGTTTGCCTCGTCCAGGACGATGGGGTTGGCCCCGTCGCCGTCCGAGATGGACATGGCTGCCACTCGCTTGGCTGGGTTGTCGCCGTTGCTGAGTCCGGCTTCGTCTGCGTCGCGCTTGCGCTTGCCTGCTCCGTTGACGGGCTCGGGCTCGGGCTCGGGGGCTGCAGGTGCGGGTGCCTTTGGCTTGCGAGGGATGTCGGGAACAGATTCCAGGGAGGCGGGTTTTTGGTCTTCTGTGGATTGAGAAACCTCGGTCGCGAGCACAATAAGTTCGAGGTTGACGCGGGGCTGGTCGTCCTCTTCGTCGATGACGGTGATGAAGCTCTCGTTCTTGACACCAAGGTCGGTCAGTTTCTTGGGGAGGTTGTCCTCTAGATCAGGGTCGTAGATGGTTCCTAGTTCGGTGTTGACGGAGAACTCCTCACCGTAACCCAATTGCGACCGGAGGATATCCTGGACCAGGTTTTCCAGTGTCGCGCGCTGAGGATCGATCTTCAGCCTGGCGTGAGTCACGGAACACACTGGACAATTGGGGTTCGGGGGTTGCAAAGAATCAGAGTTGATCGCACGAACACCGCTGCGTTCGAGGAAGACCATCTTGGCCTGGTCGTACTCCCCTCTCAGAACTTTGTAAGCCTGCAAGACACAGAGACCAGCCGTCATGGCGTTGGTGGTTGCAATAGCTGGGATAATGTTGCCAGCCATCTGTTTCGTGTCGAACTTGGACTTGGGATCGATCTTGAAGATGCTTGCCCGCAAATTGGCAGTGGCAGCGACGAAGTCCAGGGTGTCGACATCGTCCTTGTCAAAGACTAGTATAGGCTTCACGTCACTCTTCGTGGTGTCCTGCAGGGTCTTGAGCCGCTTGCTCAATCGATCTAGACTGTCCTTGAAGACGACAAAGTCCTCAGCAAGAGTCCAGACTTTCTGGTCATTGCAGGAGACCACAGGTTCGATGCCCGAAGACTCCTCTTGTAGCTTGTGGAAATCCAGAGGCTCCGGGGGGTCTCGCGTCTTCCACATGTCTTCCATGCCTCGTAACCGATCAATGTCCTCCTGAAACACTTTTTCGAATACTTTCTGCGCAAATTCCTCGGAGCCCATGGATTGGCGGATCTCCTTGAGGGCCTGAGCTTCCCTGCGGAGGTTCTCGATCTCTTCGGCTGATACGAATTAGCCAGTGTCAATTAACGCCGCGATTCCAACTCACAGTTTTCAGCATCTTCCGAGTGATCAAATTCGCTCGAGTCATCCTCGCTTATGCCGAAGAGCTCACTATGTACATTAGCAATCATGCATGAGGTTGCCGCCTGATGACTTACGGAAAAAGGTAGCTCTTGGCCCAGACGATACAGTGGATCGGCTGACTGGGTGTACTGCGGATAGTGCAGACCGGGAACGACTTGGGAACCTCCTTGGAGTTACAATCGTAGCATTCCGTGACTCCCTAGCAGTTGTCAGCGGTCGCGCCTAACCAGTCGGAGAGACACAGAAGGTAGGGACTTGACGGCGCACCTTCTTGATGACCTGGACTTGGCCGTTGAACCCCGTTGTTCCACTCTCCACTAGCGGCACATTGGCTGCCAAGCACATCCTATTCACATGGCGTCGAGCATCGAGGTTGTCCAAAGCGTTGAAGACGACATCAAATGTCGCAAACCAGTCAACGTTGAACTGGTCATCCTTGATGTTCGCATGGTATGCTTCAAGCTTTGCACCGGGCTGGAACTTGTGGGCGACTTCCTTCGCAACCTAGATATAGCGCCACCAACCGTCAGGATCTCGTTCGGAAGGATGGAAAGGACGGAAATGGGAGGGGATGTAGGTAGTAAGACGTTCGGAGGAGTTTGACGCACCAATGCTTTGGGTTTCTTGATGTGTTCGAAGCGGAAAAGGAATTGGCGGTTGAGATTGCTCAGATCGATGGTGTCGAGGTCGATGATATGGATTTCGCCGAACCCGGAGAGCAGGAGGTTCTTCAGTAATTCGCATCCGATGCCACCAGCACCCACGAGAAGCACACGCGACTAGAAAGCAAATCAAGGGAAATGGTTAGCATGGTTATGCGCAAGCTGAGCTCCTTGCTAAAAGAGAGGCGTCAAGGAGAATAAGCGTGGGGGGGATGGGGAGCGGTACCTCTTTGATTCGTCTGGCTAGAGTCCCGAGCGAGCGCTTAAGATAAGTCTCCCGCGTCATGGTTGCGGCGCGGAGACGGACAGTAGATCGAAACGGAGACTATCGAAGTCAGAGCGGGCGAAAAGGCATCGCCGAACAAAGGAGCTGTTTGCAAGGCGCGAATTGAGGGAATGGAGGTAGGTAGGAGACAATGAGAGGCAGAAGTGAAAGTAGGAAGAAGCTCCGGCGGAGAGGAAGAAGTCCGGAAGCAGTCGAGGAAGGTGAAGTCAGGAAGAATGAAGTAACAATCCCGAGCCCACTTCAACTTCCCCCGAACTGCAGTACTTCTTTTCCCTTCAACCCCATCATCACCACCGGGTGGGGGATCCCAGGTGAATCAAATCCATGCCCAGCAACAAATCCGATGTTTGACTGCATGCTGATGCAAAATTAAAAATTCAAATACATAAAAAGGAAAGTTCTAAACCTCCAGCTGTCCGTCACATTTGTCTTGTCCAATGCAACCAAAGCGGATCGGCCAGTCTTGATGGTGATCGTCCCGCATCCGATCGCATTTCCCTGTTTGTCGCACCAACACGAGGCCATTCGACTATCAGTCCGTCCATTCACTCCAAAGCTGCGTGCTTGAATAGTGTCCTTGTCAGATGTTGCTATCAGGTACTTTACACCTACTTGCCGCTCAAATGTCGCCAACCCTCAAATGCGACTGATGCATCTCACGAGCCCAGCATGTGAGAGCTCACATTCCTACCGTTTACTCCTCCACGATGGTTGGGCGACTCCTGCACGGTATAGAACTAGCAGGGGGGTCTCATGCCGGAGCTGAGTACCCAGCGCCAAAAATCAGAGGTTGACAATGTACTTTGCATGTTCTGGATCTTTCATAGTGGGGGCTGTACTTGATGGATGTCGGACTTTTCTACGAAGTATCTCTAGGCCGTGGAATTTATCGAATTTCATCCATGTCTTACTGTACGGCCAGACCATGTTGCTGACAGATCGGCAGAGCTCAAAGACGTGCAGTCCTACAGATTGATACCTGAAGTACCTCCGTGCGAAAGTGCCAAAAGACTGTCATCTTTAATCGTGGTGCTCTCCATGATATCCATGGCCTTACCTAATCATCGCTAATTACAGCTAGTGAATCCATCATAAAGACGACCAGTTAGGTGGGACATCACGGGCTTTCTATGGCCCGCTGTTGGGTCGCAATCAGCGAACCATCGCCAAAGTTGTAGGTGACATTTGTAGGCACTTGTCTTGCTCAACACTAACGCGCTTTGCGGAAACGCGGAATCAACGTCGGAAGCAGGCTGTCTATTCGAAGGGGTGGATGGATACAGAAGCATCTGAGTCAGTACCAGGTCACCTTTAACAGCTAACTGTCTCTAGAGATAGCTCACTTTCCGCCTCAGACTGTTGCGCACATGTCTACTCTGTAATTGTACAATCGCACACAACCTAACGTAGTAGTAGTACTACTAGTAGCATGTCGATTAATACAGAATTCCAGGCTAAGATTCATAGTGAACTTTAACGCAGTATACTACCAAGTAGTTGCTGTCAACAAAGTATAAGCATTGAACGACGGGCTTTTTCATTGGCGGAACAAGGTCAGCGTCTGAATGGAGTCAAGGATAAGGAACAGGAACAGTGGCTGGCTTTGCTGTGTAACAACCAACCAGGCCAGCATGCTTCTATGAATCCGACAGCCTGTTGCTGTGAAATGTGTGTATCCGAGCTTCAACCACAAGTCTTTGCCAGGAAAACTGGTAGTCGAACCAAGACTAAACCAACAGGGCTTAACTACCTAAGTTATCGCATTGATTAATTGACTGTCACCCAAAGTCTTAAAAAGTGGCACCCGCAAAAGGAGATAAGATACCCCTGCTTACATAACCAGCACTTATCGGACCAAAAAGTTGAAGCTGGAAATTCCCGATAAAAGAATTGAGAGATATGAAAATACCAATAAAGCAGGTCTTCATTGACGGGGTCGATTGATTAGGACACCGCTTTCTAGATGACATTGGAGTATTACCTCTGTAGATAAATAACTTGGTAGTGCGTGAATTTCCGCTGGGAGATTCGCCTTGGAGCCTGCCTTTGGCCCGATCGCCCTTTCTGGCAACAACCGTCTTTGATCCAAAGACAGTCCAACTGCTCGTGGGGATTTCCCATTTTCAATCCGTTTCCCTCTTTCCCTCCAACTCCCTCCCCTTTCCTCGTTATCGCCTCTGCCGTGAGCCCGGAGTTCGCTGCTTCTCCGTCCTCTCCTCGCCAATTTTGCTCTACACTTCGGTTGGCACCTAACCGAGCAAAAAAAGTGTCACCGGGCAAGACCTGTTCCCCTGGAGTTATGTCGGACGACGAAGCAGACCCCGAGTTGATTGCGCTTCTGCGCAAGACACTGGGACTAGGAGGCTCTTCAGATCCTCGAACCGCAGAGACAAAAGTGCTGGAAAATGCGCAATACGCTTTCGACAATGCCATCGACGTCGCATTAAACCCCTCCAAGACGAAAGAAGCCGCGGAGACGATATGGAACCTGATGCAGAAGAAAGAATACTCGACGCAAACATGGTCGGAGCACGAATTACACCCTAAAGCGAAAGACGAAAACACCGTCGACTTCATTTTCACCATGGATCTCCTCAACTTCAGTTTCTGGTCTGAGCTCCCTAGCGAGAAGCGCTTCGCGATTGAGTACCGAGGAAAGAAGTGGACAGGCTACTGGAGCTTGGTCGCTGCCTTGCAGAGAGCTTTGGATGAGGGTAGGTCTATTTGCCGCATGCTAAGCAAGAGACGCCAGAATCTGACTGTTATAGACATTCCGATCACCACGCCGGAGTTTTGGACCAAGGAAGATGAATGTACCGAGGACCTTATCAAGCATGTCTTCCGCTCTGCCACCGATGAAGAGATTCCTTTGCTCCAGGAACGTCTTCAGTGCCTGCGAGAAGCAGGTCGAGTTCTTTGCAGAGTATGTTCTTCACCATTTACTTCCCCTGCACCAGATGCTTATAAATTCCTCATCTGCAGGAGTATGAAGGTAGTTTCGTCAACTGCATCTACAACTCCAATTACTCTGCGGCTTCGCTAGTCAATTTGCTAGCAGAGAGCTTCTCCTGCTTCCGGGACGAGACAACCTTCCACGGGCGGAGAGTGCGAATCTACAAGCGGGCTCAGATCTTGGTTGCGGACCTTTGGGCTTGCTTCAATGGTGAGGGATATGGAGAATTTAACGATATTGATAAAATCACCATGTTTGCAGGTAAGACTCTTGACTTCCTTCCTGCACACCTTGCCTGGGCTCTGGCTCATAATGTATAGACTATCGTATCCCTCAGATGCTCCACCAACTCGGCTGTATGTCATACTCGCCGCCCTTGGAAAGCCACATACGCAGGTTGCAGCCGATCCCTAGCGGATCCAACTGGGAGATTGAGCTTCGAGCGACCAGTATCTGGTGTGTTGAATTGATAAGAAGGGAAATCGAACGCCGACACCCAGAAACCAGGGTAAACCCGACGGTGAAGCCCAACCAAGACAAGGCGTCACAAGAAGACGAAGACACCGAAGATCACCAGCAGAAATGCTCAACCCAGAAGTTTGTCAAGAAGGAACCCGTTCAAAAACCCGCTGGAATGGGCGTGAACGCTATCTTGATAGATTTCTTCCTCTACGACACCATGAAAGAAATAGAGAAGACCGGACAGGAGTCCATCCCGCATCATCGGACAAGGAGTATCTGGTATTAGACTGGCGGCAAAGCATATCATCTGCGTTTGTTTTTGTCTCTATCGGCTTTTCCAAAACTATACCCCGTTGCTTTACTTGGCCACGCATTGCGTTTGAGGGTTGCTTTTCGGGTGGGTGATGGGTATAGACTTGCATACATTGTGATAATGATACCATAGCATTGCTTTAAACTTTACCCTTACTTGTGGGCTTCTGTACACCATCTTTAATCATTCAAATACTGTCCACTGAACTTAGCAAACTACAACATTCTTCTACCTCAAAGAACCATCATCTCACTCTATGGGTATCTCTTCTGTATTATTCTATATCATTCCAAATACTCCTAAACAGCCTGAGCCGTCCTCTCAATCTGCTCAATCCGCGCCACCATATCCGCCTTCCACTCGAGATAATCCTCCCTCCGATCCTCACTCAACCAATCCACCCGATCCTGCATCATTGTCCCCAACCCCGGAAGCAGTCCCCGTCTCGAAGACTTACCCGCAACCAAAGCCCCCCTTCCAGAGACCATCAACCTGCCCCTACCCCCATCCTCCTCGACAACCCCACCCACCAGCTCATCCCCCAAAGCGCCCTCATCGCCATCCAACTCCCCAGCCAACGGCACATTCTCAAACCACTCCTTCCCATGAGCCCACCCCTGCTCCATAACCAACGCAATCCACTGATCCACATCCTCCCGATGCCGCCTCTCCGTGGACGGAAGGCCCAGACTAACCAGCGCGGTCTGTCGCATCTCCGAGAACGTCTTTTTATCCATCTTCTTCGCCTCCGCTGCCTCCTTGGCACTATCATCTCCCGATGACCCCGGTTGTCGGCGACGAGCAAGCACAAGGAAATACACAGCAACAATCAGCGCATTGATGATTTCCTTGAAATCCTCATCGCTCTCTTTATCCTTGGCTAGGATAACGGGTTCAAGGAACTCCATCATCTCCTCGTCGATCTCTTCGTCGTGTTTCGCCGTCGCTTCGGATATCAAGTACAGGATGGTAGATACACCGGCGAAAATGTGAGGTGGGAGAGTTCTCGAGATAGGTGGTCGAGACCATGTGCTCATGCGCGGTGCGGGTGTCGAGAGCGTTTTGCAGACGGTGCGGATGGAAGTCATCACCCAGCTAGGGGCGTCGGGGATGATGGTTGAGCCGGAGAGGCCATTGGCGCGGAACTTGGGGATTTTCTGGGGTCGAGGTGATGGTGAGGGTCTGTCAGCGTCGGCGTGTGAAAGTGCGCGCTTGAGAGGTGTGGATTTCGTGGGCGTGTTCTGCTGGTGTAGTTGTTGTTGGTGTTGTTGTATCCCTCGCGGAGTAGCAGTTGCAGTGGTCTTTGATGGGGTTCTCTGCGTGCCCTTCCTTGGTGTTGAGGGTGCTGATCCGGCGCGAGAGGGTGTCCCTGGGGCTGAGGCGCTTGCGCGGGCATTTCCAGTGGAGAGGGATCGGTCAAGGAAGGCGTAGAGCTTTTTGTAGGCGCGGGGAGGACATGGGGGGTGGCCGAGGAGAGGGGGAAGTTTGAGAGCGCGTGTTAACCTGTGATCGTGAGGAATAGTTAGAATAAATGCACATAGAAGACTGGTGTATGGAAATGGCAGACTACACACCTCTTGCAAGCGATTTCAGCGCACGCATACGGCCGGGCGATCTCTTCTTCAGGCTTGAGACTGCTGGAGAAGCTGCGCGATTGGGCGACGAGTGATATGGCAAGACTGAGTAGTTCTTGTGGGAGATCTTGCGCGTGTGTAGGCAGTAGCGTGGCCAGCGCTTGCTCGACAGGCCTGTTGTTCATGGTGGTGAATAATAGTCGATTAAGATGCGATGATGATATGTTGTCGAAAGGAATTCGGTATATGTAATCGCAATATCAAACAAGTAGCGTATACTCAGAAATACTCATAAAACGTATACACCAAAGCCAATCGTAGAGTATATTGTGAAGTAGATGTAGGAATGGGATGTGGTTCTGCTGGATGGGATATCACGACCGTCATGTGATCTGCAGATAAATGCGCTCCGCATCGATGATCGCCGCAGCTCTCCGTCGTTCATTGCGCCCATATTTCCCATCCTACTATCATTCGACTATCAGCAGATAGCACAGACTCACACATCATGTCTGTAACAGTGAGTGCATTCCCCCCAATTACATTACCATAAAACCGAACGAACACAACTAACCACCTCCAACTCTACTCCAGCTCCATACCACCCACGGCGACCTCAAAGTCGAGCTCTTCTGCGAAGCAGTCCCCAAGACAGCAGAGGTACATACTTCCCTCCCACCCCAGCGCCTCTCACTCCATATTCCCCAATGAACCCAACTAATCACCACACAGAACTTCATCGCCCTCTGCGCCAGCGGCGCATACAACAACACCCCATTTCACCGCCTCATCCCGGGCTTCATGATCCAAGGCGGCGACATCTCACTCAACCCATCCCTCACCTCCTCATCATCCAGCTCTAAACCCCCTCTCCCCTTCGAAGACATCCCCAAAGGCGGCACCTCAATCCACCACCCGCAAGCCCTAAACCAAGAAATCCACCTCCCAGCACTAAAGCACAACACGCGGGGTATCCTCTCGATGGCATCCCGCCCCGTGAAGGATCGCACAGCGCCGGGATCGCAAGGCGCCACGGGGGCAACGATAAACGGGAGCCAGTTCTTCGTGACGTTTGCGCCGGCGCCGCATTTGGATGGCGCGAGTACGGTGTTTGGGAAGGTGCTGAATCTGACGGCGCAGGATGAGGGCGGGGATGTGTTGGGGAGGTTGGAGAAGGCGAATGTTAAGGTTGATAAGAAGGGGAGGGTGGTGCAGCCGAAGGAGGGGGAGGAGGGGGGATTTGAGGCGTTGAAGATTGAAAGGGTTACGATTCATGCAAATCCGTTTGCGAAGTGAGGTGGAGGGGTATGTGTGGTTCGTTGATATGTTTTGAAGGTTTGGTATGGTCATGGCCATGCTTTATGTCGATTGTGAGATGTGAAGACGCCTTGCTTGATGCGAACTGGAAACTATATGCGGCATCAGGTGTCGCTCTTGCAATGGCTCAGCTCGCCTCACTACTCAAGGCTACCAGCGTCGCTCGATACCTCATACAATGTCCGTGGTGGACTGAGGTTTGAGCTGCTAGAGATGCTGGGTCGAGTTAGATACAGGGCGAGAACCCGATTGGAATCGCCAATCTACTATATTATAATGATAAATGAAACAGAAAGACGGTCATCTATACATGGTTCGTATATTATATCTCTAAAAGCACACATCATCAATGAACTTTTTTCACAACCCATGGATATCACCCCCAAACTATGAGTAACACAAAGTGGAACACCTCACAACCACACCATATGACAATGCCAACATGCACCGGATATCTAGAAACAAAACAAAAAAGGAAAACAAGGCCAAACGTAAAACGTCATCGCAATGCATATATACGAAGGGGCCAAGCGTGTGAAGTTCATGCACATCGTAACAGAGACAAGACCAAGGTCATCAAAGAGAAACGCGAAAGCAGAGTCTAACGGGTATAACGGAGTTATTTATCACTGCTGCTCATCAGCAGGCTTGTTCTCCGCGTCCTGCTCGTATCCCTCCGTCTTCATGTCCTTCAGACCGAGCTCCTCTTCCTCCTCATCAGTGCGGGTGTACTCCTCCGTCTTGATCTGGGGATCAGCGGCAGGAGCACACAGGTCCTGGACGTAGCTGTTGGCCATGGGGTCCTCGAGGGTGATGACGAACTTCATCTCGCCGCTAATAGCAGCGTCGAGACGCTTGAAGAAGCGCTCCCACTTCTCCTTGTCGGAGGAGGCCATGCTGTCTCCGCCGGAGCCGGTGGTGTCGTCGATGTCGTAGATCTGGCCGCGCAGCTGGTCGCGGATCTCGGTGAGAAGACCCTCGACGGTGGTGAAACGACCACCCAAGGTACCGGGCTGGACGGTAACCTCGAGCTGCTCACTGTAGAGCGCGCAGGTATCGGACTTAAGAATATCACGGGCAAGATCGGTCTCGTTCTCGACACTGAGGGTGATACGCTTGCCCTTCTCGGGGACCTCGCCACCAGTCTTGACTTCACTGGTGCGGTATCCGCAGTGTTCACAGGAGGTACCCCAGACGTACACCTCCTTGAAGTAGGGGATGTCCAGTTTCTTAAAGTTAGTAAAGCACTCCTTGCTGCAGCCGGGGCATTCGGAGGGCAGGCTATAAACTTTTCCTGCGATAATATCGTCCTCCTCGGCTTCGGCGGTACCTTCATGCTGCACAGCGTTGGGGTCGGCAGCGATACCAAGCTGTTCATTCTGCTCGTGGGTACGAGGGTAGTCGCGGCGCTTGTACTTCTTGACGTCATCGGCAGTGGTGGGAGCAATCCAAGAGTTACCGGTAGGGTCGTCGAGGGAGACAGTGAAGGGGTATCCCTCGCGGTCGAGCATGCTCTTGAGCCTATCAATGATGGGCACGAGGGCATCGTGGAGTTCAGGGGCCTGTTCCTTGCGAAGAGGCTGCTCGCTGGAGAGAGACTCGTAAATATTCTGGATAACACCCTCAACGGTGGTCATCTGGCCGTCGGTCTTGGGCATCTCGATACCCAGAGTCTCGAGCTTGAAGATCGAGGTATCACTGCGAATGACCTGGCGCTGCATGTCGGTCTCGTTTTCAACTTCGAGGGTGTACTTGGCGCCCTTCTCCTGGATCTGGCCCGCAGACTTGACGGAGTTGTTCTTGAAGTGGCAGTGCTCGCATTCGAACGATTCGAGGATAATGTCACGGAAGAAGGGCACACGAAGGAGCAGGAGTCTGGTAGTACCCTGTTTGCAAAGTTAGACTCGTCATCCACGACATGAAACATGATGTATTTAGAGATCACTAAGGAAACACTTACGTTCTCGTGGCAGTTGGTGCAAAGACTCTCCAAGCTCATAACACCGGTGTCATCATTGCGCTCCACCAGATCACCGGGCTTCTGGAATTGCGACTCGGGCTGAGTCTGGTTCTCGTCGGCGGACATTGTGAAGGGGGTATAAGCACTGGGTTGAAATTACAGTGAAAGAGAGGTGCTGAACAGAATACACAGATCAAAGGACCGTTTGCGCCAGAGAACACAAAAATGAAGGCGACAGGAAAATTTAAGCAGCAATGGCGGGAACGTTCCTTTGCATTCCACTATCGCCGTGGCGGGGCAAGTTTTTTTTTGGAGGGGCACCCGAGTATTAGTCAGCCGGGGTTATTGGGCGCCAGAAATAGCATGGTTTTTAAAAGATATTATAGATGGATCCGCGATTGTTGCAATAATATCCTAGTATGCTTATTAATAGTATATATTGTGGTCATGTAGACATAGACATTTCCGCAGATATCTCCTGAATTCTATGCAGGACGTTGCACACATCACACCCAACCATCGGCTAAAAGCACTATATGCTTCCGCCCAATAACCCTGCTGTAGTTAGCCAAGCCAACTTATGGGGACTGGGGAGACTTATAAGAAAAAATTGGGCCGTTCCCCCGAAGAGGAACGGCAGGTTCACCGACTGAAAACACCCCGGACTGTTCGGCTACTATAATTCAGGCAGTACATCCACCTCCCCTTTCCTGTACGGAATCCCGAGTTTCATTGCAGTGCCACCGTGAACATCAATAGAGCGCCTTCTTTTCGTAGCTAGCTCAGCCCGATCCTGAAAGAAACACCAGCATCCAGGCAATATGGCATGGGAAACAACGCGAAATCCAAGCAGACAAGCCTAAACTTTGATCCCCATCAAGAGGTCCTGCAGAGAATTCCCTGTACGAATCCCAAAGTCCACAATGCTGGAAGATGATGCTTCGACCAAAAGCTGGTTCGATCCTGAGTGTCGCGACGGAGAGGAGAAGGACTCGCTCGGTTTGAAAGGCAGCGACTGCTGATCATCGGGCTGTTTCTGGGAGCAGTGTAGCACAGAACCCTTGGCAAGTAGTTGAGCAGTTGAGGAATGCAATCGTCAAGTGAACGCGGTTATGGCACAGGTATGCCTCACAACCTCCGCAGGGAATCGACCCTTTACATATCCAAGGCATCCCAGTCGAACCTTAGATCAAACGCACCATCTCCCTACATCTTTTAGACATGTTTCCTGCCCATCAATTGACATTCCAGCGCCACTTGATCTGACTTCTTGTGTGTGATACAGTACCCCCAGGGACAGGTTTTTGTTTCCTCCCCGCAGTACGAAACATTGGGGGGCATTCAAAGCGGACAAAGAACATCCCCAAAAGCCGCTTTCTTCTCCCCAAAAGGAGGGACTACGACCGAAACCGTAGTCTGTACCAGCGCCCATCATCTATTTGCCACCTACATTGCAAAGAGACGGTTAACACGGGCGATCAGGACCTTCTATAGAAGCGCAAATCAGTGGCTGGTGCCGCGATTTGGTGCCACCTAGCCTCCGAAGGGGACGAAGTACATGAAGTTGCAAGGTAGAAAGCAGGTACAAGGGTCCCAGGTCCCTCGAGGTTGGAAGCATGCACGGGACAGCACAGAGCCCAAGACCGTGGACAACCGACAATGCCTGCATATTGAGCATCATCATTACATGCCAAGACTGATCTAGTGCCGGAATGTGACAACAAGCCAAAGGTCGGATGGCATTGCGTAGAAGGCAATGACCAAGCATGAATCATCCTGCCCGACAGTGAAAATGGACCTCGCTGCAATATAATCACTACGGAGGTGCCTGGACACAACCGAGAAATTATATTGGTTCTGACGAGTGGATCCATTGACATATCGGGTAGATGACAGTGTGTGGGCAGTTTGTTGTATTCGAGATGATCAACTTGCACATGTAATGAATGATGCCCGCAGTATTGTCCTCAAAAGCACGGTATTACCACCCATAGATTGCTCCCTAAGACAACTCCAAAACAGAGTTGCCCGACATGCTTCACCTGCTTTCTCTCCAACTTCAGTCTTCCAGGCATAGAGTGACAATCCGTAGTGATCAACATGTAGCGCCCAGCATTGGCAAACCGACGCGTGTCCTTTTCAGGAGCTTGTAATAAACGCATGATAAGCCGTCTTTGATTGCCTCCGAGGAAGCTCTGGACATCGGATTCCTTTCATATCGTCGATCCCACCAGGGATCGAGCCCACTAATCGGTACATCCGCCATGCAACACCGTGAAACTGATACCACCGAATGGCATCGAACTGATTGGTGTCTATTAGGGTTTAGTTCCCAAGCTTTCTCTTACCGCTTGCTCCTAGCAGAACGCGAAAGAAAAAACTTGAGAAGCCGTAGGAGGGTAAGATCTGTATAGACGCCCGTAGCGGGCGGAGAGGCGAGATCAAGCGGCACTCCGGAAAGAACAACGAAAACACACGTCCACACATCTTCGAAGGTATAGGGTCCAATGGAGATTTGAGCTCCTAAGAATCAACTTTGACTGAGCTTCTCGAACAAGTAGAGATCAATAACTTCAGGGAGTTGGTTGAGCCAAGCCAATGTCACAGCCGCTGTGTTTGAGGAAGGAAATGGACGGGACTGAAATGATGCGCCTCGAGTCGAGCCTCCAACGGACGCGACGCGTTATCACGTGATTACCAGCCGCCTGCAAAAGGCCTGGAATGTCCTCGCACCCAGTTGTCCATGGTTTGCGTTCTCTAGTTGCTTTACAGCTAATTGACTTTGGTGTTATTCTGTATTGTTTTTGCTTGGACATACGCCATTCAAAACTACTTGTCAATGTACATATCTGAGGAACATAAGAAGCATCCTTAGTGCAGTGACTCCATGACGTCATTCAATACACCTATAGTTAACCACTTGACCCGATAGACCATAATCACCCCAATTCCGCTTCATTCCTCATGCCCACAAAGGCTCACTATACTGTGGACTTTGGTAAATTCCACGAGTGGCCACTTGCTTCCACCTTATATTTCTGCAGCTTCTTTTCCCGCATTGCCGATTCAGCATGGCTGGATGGCCTTCCAATTGGCATCTTAGTTGCCTTTAGGCTCCAGGCATACTTGTTCCGGCCCGCTGCTATGGTTGCTTGCGGAAGGGCTGGCTTACTTGACCTTCTGATATTCTCCCAATGATTGAATGTGTGCGCCGTGCGCCGGTGTGCTACACGGTCTGAAATCGCGAATATCGACACGGTCTTGATCGTGGGGAACACTAGGGACACCATCCAATAAAGTGTAGACGAATCCTCGCAGGACTGTCAATGTCGGGGTCAAATATCACACCCCTTGTGGCCCGGAAGCCTTGAGCGGTATGAAGGCGAGAGCACACCATGCCGGGGTCGGTCCCATATTCTGGCTTCTGGGCTGTTAATGGCGACATTAACGGCCATACGTCTGATCACGAAGTCCACATGGTCGCGGGCCATGCAGCAATAGTAGCATGGTCATCGATGAAAAGATCATATGGCTGAATAGCATCAATTTCATTCTCTGACCTGCCCAGAAAATCCTGCATTGTCGGTTCTAAGAATGCCATCTCGGTAGTATAGCCCGTAGCTGGCACTATACTAATTGCATGAGGATCCGCGGTCGGGCCTCCAGCCGATAATGACGCGAGGGAGTGTCTTGGTGTTTGACTGCGACGCTCATGGCTATCATTAACAACGCCAGAGTTAGTTGCCAAAGTTTTCTTGACACGCTTGAGGTTCTCGTAGAATTCAGCAGCAGCAAGATTGCCGTGTTCACTCATCCTATGCAGGATCTCAATGGCAGTATCTAACGACTCCAGATCTGCCGGGTTTCCGATCGTTGGCAAAAGACTTGAGATCACCAAGGCAATGCAAGATGAAAAGAAATACTGGGCGTAGAAATAGCCGTACATAGGCAAAGAGCCATTAACCCACTCCTCTATGATGAGTGCATGGGAGTGCCGTGCAGCATGTATGCAAGCTTCACTAAGAGTGATGACCGGCTGAGGAAGGTCTTCGCTATCATCACGGTTGCTGTGATGTAATAGAGCATGAAGTAAGATGGGTCGAGTGGCTAATATCACGCACTACGTACGGTTAACGCAAAGACCCTGCGTGGATAAGAAGGAAACTGACCTGATTAAATTGTAGATGTAATGATACGATATGCTTTGGCGGAGGAGAGTCCTCCGAGCGCAACTTGATATGTTCTGGGAGCGATTTAAGCCAGTCTTGTAAAGCCAGCAAGAGCTGCTGCTCCCGCTGGAGAAATGACTCTGCATGCTGTTTGCGACAATATATCTTGTCAATGGTCTGACCAATGATCTGCGACAGTCGAATACTGGCGACAGAGTAAGCTGTATCTGAGAACTGCTCCTCAGCAGCAGGGCTGGCAACGTCGGTAGGCATATCGACATGGATATCTTCATCGCGGATCTGTAGCGGGAAACCAAATTTTGACGTATACATGCGGTCGAAGACATAGATAGCCCACCACAGCCGAACCCGATGCTGACGTTCTATTGGATCAGTACATTGTCGCTCAGGGATATTATGGTTGAGCCCGAGGATCAGGCCCAGACGCATGGCGCTGCCGACTAACATGTAAGCCGAGTGTCGTCTGTTGAGGAAGTACGAGTACAGCGACTGATTGATGCGTTTAGCAATAGCTATGATATGCTGAAGAAGCAGTTGACTTACCAGTAGTAGCAGACTTTCCACATGGATGACACCTGGTCTCTCGGGCAGAATCGGAATTAGTCCCATTGCTCGTACATAGTACAACGTGCCTGGAACTCGACCCGTTGGTGAAGAGTTGGCCCGAGACGAATAGACCTCGCCCAAGGCGAAAAGGGCGAAGAATTTGCACATAACAGCCGGGTCATCGCGTAGCGATGGCGTGCGGTATATGGATTCGAGGTGTTCGATGGTCGACTTGCGTAGAAACAGATGGTAGACGCGACTCAACTGGTTGAAAGCAATACGAACCAGTAGACGAGCCTGTGCTAAACCGGGCCATTGAGTGGCACCCTCGAGTAAAGATGACTCGGGGGTGTATTGCGTTCTAGCAACATGCGCCGTATTAGGATCCCCCGTGAGGAACTGGCGCAAGCGCGTCGCGAACGCCGTGCATGCTGCATCACCCATGTATATAGGAGGAGCAGAAGGGTCGTATGGGTAGAACCAAGCCCGTTCTCCCAGGAGAGGGTTTTGCACCGGCGGGTAGAACTCTTGTGGAATAGACCCCTCGGCAGTAGTGGCAGATGAGCTCTGAGGGGTACTAATAGAGCGTAGCTGTTCTCTTAATTGAGCGTTTTGGGTAAGAAGTTCGTCGAGGTAACTGGTGTATATCAGTATCCGAGACGGCTAAACAATGGGTAGATGATCGAGGATGCCTACCTCTCTTGCACCTTGAGCTTGCGATCACGTAGAGTGTATTTACACTCATCATCACAGCCAGCCCGCCGACATCTCGAACAAGGCTGTCCGCCAGAACATTTAACTTTATGGGCGTGACAACGGTGGCAGCTGCAGGAAGGGAACTAGTTAGCGCACTTGCTAAGGAAGAAGCCCGAATGGCAACGCACGCTATAGGCTTCTTATTATCACGCTTGGGTTGTTGCTTAGTGACAGGCATCGGTGAATAATTTATTTCAGACTATTGGAATGACCTGCATGCGTTGATGTTGTCGGCAGTCTGATCCTTCGCCGAGAGGCACGACGAAGTTCGCCTCTCTTATTCATCTTTCGGCAATTTAGTCACATGCCGAGGTCGAACCTTAGCCAAGTATAACATCCACTAGTATCGGCCCCGCGGCGCCCATAAGCATGAGACAATAGAGGTAGACGAAGGGAAAGAAATTGATCAATTGTGCCCAGTTTGAGTGTTTAATGAAATTGTCTGCGATATGTATCCTGTTTGCCCCCAATCATACTATCGTAAGTCTGTTGCCGCTGCTTCATCCAGTCACGCCGTTGTAATCGGTTCCGTGACGACACGCCGACGGACCGATGACTATATAACCGAACTATATAATTACGCAGAGAGAAGAATCTAGAGCCTCATGGCTTCTCTTGAGAAATTACTCCGGCAGCTCACTGCTAAAAGAAGAAGCATACTATAAAGCATTCTACTTTGGTTCTACTCACAATGCTAATCCAAAAACCATATTTGGATGTTCAGTTCCAACTGGAGCATGGCTCTGCCGATTTCAGTGTCGGAGATGACATTAAGGGAACGGCTTTTATTATCCCACGGAAGAGTATCTCTCCACATCAGCTAAGCATTTACCTTGAAGGTATGATTCAATTTCTGTTTACAGTTGCAACTCGTAATGATTGTTCGTCAGGCAAAGTCAAAATACAGATTGACAGGACCGAAAACGCGGTGCCACTTCCACCGTACACGGCATGCCAGACTTTTCTTCGCATAGAACAGCCGCTCGTGCTCAAATCATCAACAGACTCGGGACTACTGCAAGGAGGTTTGAGACACGAGATACCATTCGGGTTCACGGTTCCTCCAAGGATAAGAGGCTCGGTGTGCCAGCAATTTTGTCACCTTCAGCAGGTCCAGGAAGAGCATTCACTCCTTCCTCCGAGCATAGGGCAAGACGACATAACGCCCAGCGAGATATCGGTCGAATACAACATAAAGCTCAGCCTGACACGGGGTATCAACCGAGACGGGATGCCAGCAGTAGCTGAATGGGCATTTCCATTGTTTATTCGTTCGCCGCGCATAGAAGAGGCACCCTTGCTGGTTCCAGAAGACAGCAAGCATTACTGCCTCAGTAAGGAGAAATTCGTATCCAAGTCACCGATATCTTTCTCTCGGATTGGAGCGCTGTTGGCGCGGACGGCGCAGCCAGCCGCTATTCAACAAGCAAAAGCCATGGTCAGTTACTTACCAGTCAACTTACAGTTCCAAGCAATATCTAGACCACATCTGCCACAGTTATCATCAATGTGTGTCTCATTAAATGCCATCACCTCTTTCGGAGAAAAACCAGAGATACATCTTCCAGCGGCTATAGGTTCTTCAGCATGGGATCCTTATCGTCACTCTTATGTGCAAACAGTATCTCTAGGGACTTCAACCCCGAGCCCGTTGGAGTGGGGAAAGTGCCAATTTACCGAGGATCTGGATTCATTCACGGCCAGCATCGCATCAGGGATAATCTATGGTACCTCAGTAAAGGTGCCAATCAAGCTGCCGGAGGGTCTGAGCTTGCCGCCTACGTTCAGCTACTGTCTTGTTTCCCGAATATACTCTTTGACGGTGACTCTCCGATTCCACATATCAGGGCAATGGAGCCGAACGATTAGCCTTCCCTTGACAGTTCCACTTCAAATATGCTAGCTTATAGCTGAAAATGGACCCACTGCTAGTTCTTGGCAAACTAGATGAGCAAAAAGGAGACATGAAGCTGATATAGTATTCAAATACGTAGTGTGTGAGAACCACCTTTGCCAGACGGCTATATGATGGCTATTTATATATTTGCTAGTTTGAAACAAGAAACCTACTTGAGTTGGCATCATTCCCTGGAGAATAACTTTATGACTTAAATGTATGTGATTTAACATCGTGCAAGATAAGATTGATTATTAGTGAGCAAACAGATGTAGGTATTGGAGTGTTTCATATATTGGATGTTCGTGTAGTAACAACAGTATACTACCCAAAGTAGCAGCAAAATCGAAGTTGCCGCCCGGCCCATTACACGCTAGACCACATTTGAACTAGCCACAAATCATGTGATAAGCAACTTGCAGGCATAATGTGATTAGGTAATCACTTCCAATCCATTCTCTGGACTTGATGGAAACAGGCGTAGAATTGTAAATGCGAGTATTGGGGTAAAGGAGAGCTCTCCATGATCGAAGGATGAGTGACTCAGTACGGGTAAAAGAGGCATTCGCTGCCGTGAGTGTGTTTCTCGAACCTGTTCTTCAACGAGGTATGCAAAGCTTGATCCCAGAGCCGTCTGAATGTCAAAGCTAACCGAGAATTTAGATAGCGTTCAGAGCCAAAAGTTGCGGGGGCAGACTTTAGTAGAAATTCTGAACGAGACACTCCGTGACGATGAGAAAAGCACTGGGTCTGTGAGGAGCGATGTCATCATTAAAGCTTTGAGCCTACTGTCTCTCATCCATATTGCTTTCGTCACTCCCTCCAGCGATGGGGATCAGTCCAGCCAGACGGGCCAGGAAACAGAAGATGCTGCCCTGGAAGATGCAAAAAGACGCAGGCTACTTCTCGCTCTATTGGATCTGATTGCTGTGGAAGGCATATACCCGTCACTTTCGAGAGGTCTTGGCCTACCTCTGCACCAAAGGGTGTTCTCGGCTCTGCCTGCGGGGGTTATTGCTCAACAACAACATCATGCTCAGGAGAGTCCCGAAGACGAATATCTCCTCGAAAGGATATGGTCCACTCTCTCGAGCGTCATATTCGATGCAAGAATGAGCGTTCAAGATGTCATCCGTGGCCGAATCCTTAGCGACATGATCAGTGCAGCTGCAGACCTGGCTTATAACTCAAAAAGCCTCTCCGACGATAAGAAGGCTATCTACCGTCAGGAGGTGGGAAGACTGATTGAAGAGTATGTTTTTCATAAACGTTCCAGCCACAGCCACTGATTTGCTGCAGGACTCCCAGCCCTGTGTTGCTACCAACATTGTCCACTTTCCTGCAGTCGGATCCTGCTCCGTGGTTCAAGTCTTTGGTCTCTAGCGAGCTGTCACGATTTCCATTACGCCCCGGTGGTGTACTCCAAACTATGGTCTTTCTGGCCTCTCAGTTTGCCCCTACTCTGGGAGCCGAAGCTCAGGCCCAGGCATCGAATGGCCCAATCTTCACAGTGCAGGGTATAATGCAAACGTCCCGCCTGCTGTCCTCAGTTCCAGAAGGAATGGACCCGGTCAACTACTTTTCCACAATAGCACCGCAGCTACTAGAGTTGATTGACGGCGATGACCCTGACCTAATGAAGACAGCAGCATACGTAATTGGAAACGGTATCTTGGGTAAAAGAGCCTACGGCGCTCCTGGGACCGTCGGGCACTCCATATTCTTGGAGCCTATCTTCAAAGCGCTTACTGCGGGGCTTGATGATTCCTCAAAGAAATGGATAGCTACCGCTGATGAGTTTGACCGTGGATCATCCGAGCAAATTCAAGTAGCCGAGCCGACGATATTATTAGCAGTCGACAGATTGCGAACCTTAGTCCTCCAACCTCCAAACCCGGGTCTCGTGAAGCGCGTCGTCCACCCTATTCTAGTGCCACTCTGGGGCCTAGCTTGCTATACAATGGAACATCAAAATATGGCACTGCATGAGAAAATCTTAACTATCCTACAGACATATTTCGGAATATCAGTTGGACTTCAACCATTACAGAAACTCGTCGACAACCTACTCTATGATGGCGGGGCAGCGTGGACTTATGATTCAGACTCGAAGAACAAAGTCTTACTGCGGAAGCGCAACACGTCAGAAACGAATCGCAACATTGTCCGCCTCGTCGACATATTGCAGTCTCGCACGAAACTCTTCGTCGGCTTATTGGGCGCAGACCCCAGTAGCGAAGAGCGGACAGCTGACATCTTCCTCTACGTCAGTGAAAGCTGGCTGGTGAAACCTACCTTGGATGAGCGTTCGATGGATAGATTGCGACTATCCCCGGAGGAAGACAACTTCAAGAACATTATGCAGCAGTTGATCAGTGCCAAGGTAGCGGAAACGCTGCTCGACAATTTCAAAGACGTCCTTTCCCGTCGTCCTTTACGCGTGCTCGAACTCATCAAGCAAATAATCGACAGTGAACTGAACCGAGCATACGTGCGGAGCAAGAAGACCATGGGTACACGGTCAGGCAAGGTATCCCTATCGTCACTGGCCAACATCGTCGAGCCAGACGACACCGGAAAGGAAGAAGCAGCAACAGACACAGACTCCGCCGAATCACTGCCAGCCGTATTCAGCCTTCTATCTACTGTCCTCGCCTCACCCGATTTCACCATCTCATCTGAGACCCTCCCAGTGCTCGAAGCCATCAAGTCAAAACTCGACGATCTAACCCCCCATCTCCCACCCGACCTCTCCAAACCAGCAACCACATCATCAATGCTCATCGAGATCCACCTCGCCAACCCCGAAGGCGAGACCCTCATAACAAACAAACCAACCAGCGAAATAGCCGACTTCGAAACCCACCGTCGCGCACTATCCAACCTAAACTCCGACCTCGCCCCCATCCAAGCCGAAGGCTTCTCCCTCCTCTCAAACCTCATCACCAAAGCCTCTCCAGTCCTCGACATCCCCTCCACCCTGACCCTCCTCCTATCCATCATAACCGACACCTCCGAAACCCACAGCACCGACGAATTCATCTACCTAAACGCCATCAAACTCATCGGCACCCTCGCATCACGGCACCCCCGCACCGTGATCAAAACCCTGGTAGACCGCTACATCGACAAAACCGAGACCCACACCCTCGACCAAAGACTCAAGATCGGCGAATCCCTCCTCCGCACCGTCCAGGACCTCAACGACGCCCTAACAGGCGAGACCGCCAAACTCCTCGCCGAAGGCATGATTGCCGTCGCCGGCCGACGCGCCCAGAAACCCCAAGCCCAAAAGACACGCAGACAGCAACTCGAGAAAGAGAAACGGAAAGCAGAACGCGAAGAAGCCCGCAAGCAAAAGGAATCTTCCATGCCCCCAGGATGGAGCATCTCCACATCTACATCCAAAATCCAAGAACTATCAGACCAAATCCAGAAGGAAGTCGACGCCTCGGATTCCGAAGAAGACGAAGAGCAAGCCGCCCACTCCGCCAACATCATCTCCGCCTGGGCAGCAGGCGCAGCATCAGACTCCGAACCAGAGGATCTCCGCGTCCGCGCATCCGCATTATCCATCCTAGCAAGCGCCATCCAAACGAATATCCTCGGTCTCGGACCCTCGGTTATCTCCTCCGCCGTGGAATTAGCCCTCGCGACGCTGACACTAGAACCGGAGGTTGAGTCCGCTATCCTGCGACGCGCGAGCGCTATCCTCCTTGTTGATATTCTCAAAGCTATGGATACCGTTCGCGAGAATCGCGGTAGTCAAGCTCTGGGCTTCGGGTTTTCGCTTTCGGATACGAAGGGTGTTGGAATGGATGGGGGAGCAGCGACGGTAGGGAATATTCCGCATATGTTGTCTTCGTTGAGGTTTGTGGAGAGTTGGGAGACGGATTCGATTGTGAGGGGACACGTACGAGTGTTGGTGGAGAGTTTGGAGGCTTGGTTGGAGAAGTCGCTGTTGTGGGGGATTGGGGCGAGAGGGGAGGATGAGGAGCCGAGGTTGGAATTGGGGGATCGGATTGCTGGGTTGAGAGTTAGTCCGCTTTCTGGTAGGGATGAAGGTATGAGGCCGAGGATTGAGGAGATTGAGTAGTAGGTGGTGGTTTGGTTACTGAGTTTAGTCACGTTTATTCAGTCTTTAATTTACTGTCTACTATTGCGCGAACTTTATGCATGATGCTTTGGTTTTCATTTCCATTATCTGTACTGTGATCCAGTAGGAAAATAGCTATTTCGTGAACGCGTCAATTGTACTAAGTAACTCCGAGGTCACCGTGATTTCAAGGCATAAATGACAGAAATTGAAGGTCGACTTTCAGGGAGCCATTCTCTGTGAAAGACATTAATGAGATGGGTAGAGTTGGTCTCCATTTCCATTAGAGTGTCAGATAGAAGAGATTAGAAGTGTAGTTTGCAGCGAGAAATGAAATAAAGACAAATTCGGTAGATGGCATCGTCGCATAGCTGTTCCGATGAAAGAAATATGAGAAGAGGCAAGTGCCCAGCACTTCCTCATCCGCTGTACACTTTCTTTGCGCCATGAGCAATGCCGCGAACGCAGCTGAAGAGCAACCGTGTCTCATATGGAGCCAGCTTTTGATCAGCGAAGTGCAAGAGGAAACGATGTAAGATCAGTAACGGTTGCCGCGTCCGCGACCTCCACGTCCGCGACCCCGTCCAAAGCCAAAGCCGCCTCGACGAGGCCCACGGCCCATACCGCCTCTGTTACTACTAGGACGGGGCCCTCTGGCCATTCTAGCTTGGCGTTCGGCGTCGGGCATGTCGAATTTGTTTTCGATGCCGATCAACTCGCAGAACTCGGCGGTCTGTGGATTGGTGTACTCAATCGGCATCTCTTCAGTCGTCAGAGGTACACTGGGATCATAGATGGGCGCAGTTTGAGTGAAGTTCTCAGGGACGACAAGCTTTCCAGGCTTGACGACGTTCTCCTCAACCCACTTCTCTTCTTCGAGAATCTGGGGAAGGTACACGACGTCGCCCTTATCTGGAGAGGGTCTGGCGTTGGGATCCCCGAGGTGGAGGTCGTTGGCGAACGCACGTGTGATTGCGAGCCATTCTTCGTCGTACTCCAAGCGATATGGGCGTTCAACCTTCCCTCCATCCGGTTCTGAGATAGGATCTATCTCCAAGAGCTGGAGAAACTCGCGGTTAGGAAGGCATTTGTCTAACGCAAGGAAATTGGTCACGTTGTTTGCAATGGCTTTGGGCAAAGGCCCATTGACCGGATAGGGATCAGGCTGGGGCCGTGAAAAACTGGCAGGCAGCTGGTTCCGGATATCCTGTGAGACATCAGTCGCTTTAGCTGGCTCTGCTTGAGAGGTGATATTGTTTCGTTCCAACTGAGTCGGAGTGGACATCATTGTGGGAGAGCCACTATTTCCTGAAACTGCCGTTTCAGGCTGTGCTTTACTTGATGCACCGTCGGACTCGCTGTCTAGATCTAAGTCGATCTCATCACTATTTTTCACAACATCCGATCCATGATCAATCTTCTGTTTTTTAGAGTTCTGCTGTTCGGGACTGACATCCCTCTCGACGCTTGCAATTTTCCGATTTACACCGTCCATATCGGTCTCCACCCTTTTCCAGGTCAGGTTGTGCTTGAGCTCATAGGGGTTCGGCCCAGGGTTCTGTGCCTTGCCCGACAAATAAAGCTCGTTCTCAGCCGCTTCGTTTCGGGCAGCAACGACGTGGAAGTTGTTCCACGCTGACAATTTAGTCTCCATGGTGCTAGCTGCTTCTCCAGCCGATACGTCGGTCTTGGATGACTGATAAGCAAATTGTCCACTCTCTGACTGCAACTGAGAATCTCTGGTGCTTACAGCGTTGCTCTGACTCTGCTTATCAGAGTTGGCAGTAGAAGCTGAGGCCACAGGTTCATTCAATGGGTTCTGGTTCTCTTCACCAAGGACCAACGAAGTGAATACCGCACCATCCAGCGCAAATGGAGCGCTTGAACGCTGACCGGCATCAGTTGCACTGGCAGCAGCCTGTCTCTTGGCCGCTGGATGCTCAGGAACAACATAATCAGCGTGCTGCACTCGAGCCGCGAACTTAACGTGTAAGTGGGCCGAAAACCAATAGGCTGGGCGCAGCCGATCAAGAACATGCTTGGCAGCCATACTACCAAGTCGGCCATTTTGAGAATCCTCGCGGAACCCCATCTTTTTATTGAATAAGGTTTCAAAGTCTCCGCTACGCTCGACCGTCTTAGGCCAGTCGTGGGATAATCCCAGATCAACCTGTGTGCGGATTTGCAGCAGTTTGCGGACATCGAGTTCCCTCACGTGGTAGATGCTTTGAACGTCATCGCTGTTGTATGGCAGTCGTTCAAAATGAGGTCTCCGGTAGTCGTATCCCTTCCAGATGCCAGACATGCCGGCGATGCGAAGTGGCCCACACCGGATAACGTTGGCCGCACCGAGGTAGTAGATATTGGGGGCTACCCACCCGCCATAATACAGCTCAAACAGGTGATTGCTCGCCTCATGGTTCCCTCCCACAAAGATGGTCAGGTATGGAGCAACACGCTGCCCACTGTAGTATTCATGAAAGTCACCTAACTCTCTGTACTTCATTGGCACTGACATGCAGGCCAGATCATTGGCATTTCTGACAGCCTAGGTTGAAGTTAGCAGGAGAGACAGGCAACTTGACAGGGGCGAAAATAGTCTTACCTGGAAATCGCCGCCAATGATCACCAAATCGACACCATCCCACCCTTTCAGGGAGGCAGCCTTATCGACCGATGCATAGATATCATGAAGACATCCGTGGCCCTGGAGACGTATCTTTGGTCAGCAAGATAAAAAGTACAGAGTATGGAAATGAAAAGTTGACTTACACATCCTTCAAACGCGACTCGAAGCGAGGCAGAGTCTGAAGTTGGCATCTCCATGATTCTGGAAAATGCTGCGAAAACCGAGATAATATGGACCGATCCGCGACGAAGTATGAGTTGCTCGCAAAGTTTGAGACGCAGAAGATGCAAAGGATGATAAGGAACAACGTAGGAGACCTCTTATGCAAGAGTGAGGATTACTGGACGCAGAATATTCAATTCTGGGAGGGAGAATAGAAAGATGCTAGAGGTGAAGAAATGAGAAGAGAAGAATTGGGGGAGAAGAGAAAGATGAAAAGTAGAAGCAGAGTAACACCGGGAAGATGTGAGTTGATCGTGCGGCGGGAGTGTTTGGTTGCTTTGCTGCCGAACAGCCCTTTTTTTTCTCTTCTCGGCATCAATTCATTTTCATGCTCTCCCGCCAAGTTTTGAGCAGGTTCGGTCTTCATATATATTCACAACCGATCTAGATACCTGCGATTGTTATCACCTAAACATGCCCCTTAGTGATCATGCGCCCCGGTTGGAGTTCCTCAAGGGCTCCGCCAGCGCTCTCAATGCTCTCAGTCCATCAACAGCGGCCTACTTGATGACCGTTCACAACGGCATTCTCCGTGACGAATTCAAGCCATTAAGCCAGCGGCTCCAAGAGACGTCGTGCGGTGCATGTGGCAGTGTTAGAAGCCCGCAGTGGACCAAGAATATCGTCATTCAGAAGAGAAAAGGCAAGCAGTTAAATGCAGGCAGAGCGAACAAGGCCAGCTCTGATGGAGCTACAATCTTAAAATGTCTCCGTTGCCGGCGACGGACCATCAAGCCAGTCCGCAAGGATGCAGCTCGTCCTGCACTACCACCAAAAGTTACTTCTACAGCGGCATCTACGCCTGACATTCAATCATCTGCAGCTACAACGCCCCAGTCTGAACCGGCCACCGAATCAGCGGATTCCAGCCGGGTGAATAAAGCGGCCGACAATGCCAACAGCAAAAAGCGGGCCAAGGCTCGCAAGCAAGGTGGGCTGCAGGCCTTGATGGCATCTAAGCAACAATCCCGCAGCAATTCATCCTCACTTGATCTCTTTGACTTCCTTCAGTAGTGAAGGCGACCTGCAAAATATCCAATTCCCTGCTGCTTTTGCTTTCACTGCCTTGGAGTGCCAAGACCGGAATCTCGGCAGTTTCCTCCGGGATGGATCGGGCCTAGCGCGGGGTCACGCTATCGGAGCTTCCAAAGAGCTGCGGCTGTTGATGTGGAGCTCGCTCGATTATCCCCCAAAGCATCCTCTGCTGCTGTTGCTGTTGCTGCTACTGCTTCTTGGCTTGCTCTGATTGCATTTGTTTTACTGCTAACTCCTTAGCCCTTCGACACAATGTCGTCTTACGATGACGAGCACGATCCTCAGGCGGACGAGCTCCGAGAAACCGCCCTAGTCACCCTGGAGACGTTGATTAGCTCTTGCAACTCTCAGATGCAGCCATACATGTCCAATACCATTAACTCAGCCCTTCGATTTCTCAAATACGATCCCAACGTTGCCGAAGCCGAAGACGATGAAGAAATGGGCGGCACTCAGGATGATGGCTCTGAAGATGACGTAACGGAGGAGCCCGATCTGGACGACGACGACGAGTTCGAGGATTTCGAAGAAGAAGGAGGCTACAGTGACATTGATGATATGAGCTGGAAGGTCCGCCGTTGTGCAGCGAAATTGCTCTATTCCGTCATTTCGAGTTACACCCGCGGCCGTGCTGCAGACGATGCGTCCTTGTTTCAGCAAATCTCCCCCGCTCTTATCGCCCGGTTCAATAAAGAAAGGGAAGAAAGTGTCAAGCTCGAGGTCGTGTCTACTATGACTGCACTCGTTCGGAAAACAGGTGAAGGTGCTATGATAATCACGTCCAACGGATTCCTTGAGTCAGTCGGCGGTTCGAAGAATTCGAGGAAGAGGAGACGCCAGGATAGTGATGCTAGTATGATCGACTTCGAGCCCAGCATTGGCACCTCCTCTGCTGTCAGCACCCCTGTTGTTGCTCCTTCCTCGCCCAAATCTGGTCCACAGGCGGAGTTGGCTCGCTCGGTGCCGATCATCGTGCAGAGTGTGGTCAAGATGTGGAAGCAAGCTTCTGTACCTCTGAAGCAGGCTATTATCGTGCTGCTCAAGAGCCTTGCACTCGTTCGCTACGGTGGTCTTGCGGATCATCTCCAACAGCTTGAAGACCCCATAGCGGATG